GACGTCTCGCTTCCAGACAAGCTAAACACCTTCTTCGCCCGCTTTGAGGATAACACAGTGCCACCGACGAGGCCCACTACCAAGGACTGTGGCCTCTCCTTCTCCATGACCGGTTTGGCAGTGGGTCAGTCATGGTGTGGGGTGGCATTTCTTTGGGGGGCCGCACAGCCCTCCATGTGCTCGCCAGAGGTAGCCTGACTGCCATTAGGTACCGAGATGAAATCCTCAGACCCCTTGTGAGACCATATGCTGGTGCGGTTGGCCCTGGGTTCCTCCTAATGCAAGACAATGCTAGACCTCATGTGGCTGGAGTGTGTCAGCAGTTCCTGCAAGAGGAAGGCATTGATGCTATGGACTGGCCCGCCCGTTCCCCAGACCTGAATCCAATTGAGCACATCTGGGACATCATGTCTCGCTCCATCCACCAACGCCACGTTGCACCACAGACTGTCCAGGAGTTGGCGGATGCTTTAGTCCAGGTCTGGGAGGAGATCCCTCAGGAGACCATCCGCCACCTCATCAGGAGCATGCCCAGGCGTTGTAGGGAGGTCATACAGGCACGTGGAGGCCACACACACTACTGAGCCTCATTTTGACTTGTTTTAAGGACATTACATCAAAGTTGGATCAGCCTGTAGTGTGGTTTTCCACTTTAATTTTGAGGGTGACTCCAAATCCAGACCTCCATGGGTTGATACATTTGATTTCCATTGATAATTTGTGTGTGATTTTGTTATCAGCACATTCAACTATGTAAAGAAAAAAGTATTTAATAAGATTATTTCATTCATTCAGATCTAGGATGTGTTATTTTAGTGTTCCTTTTATTTTTTTGAGCAGTGTATATATATATACAGGTCGAGGGTGCTGATGTAACGGGCCTTTCCCAATCGGTCGATGAGCTCATCCACCCTCGGCATGGGGTAGGCGTCGAACAAGCTGATGTCGTTCACACCCCGGAAGTCATTACAGAAGCACAGGCTACCATCCGGTTTGGGCACCAACACGATGAGGCTGCACCATACAGTGTGGGACTCTATGACCCCCATCCTCAGCATAGCTTCCACTTCCTCCTTCACGGCCTTCCTTCGGGCCTCGGGGATCCGGTATGGCCTCTTTCATACCGTTTCCCCGGGCCGGGTGCGGACGTGTTGTTCAATGAGGGTCGTGAAGCCCGGCTTCTCGGAGAACAACGCCGTGTTCTGATCAACGAGCTCCCAGAGCATTTGCTTCTGGGCTGGGTCGAGATCCTCATTGCTCGGTACCACCACTTGTACCGTTGGCGTCCTGGGTCCCGACCATAACACGGCCAAGGCATGTCCTCCCGTGCCACCTCTTCAATAGGTTCACATGGTAAATATTTTGGGGTTTTGGTCTCCCTGGCTGCCGTACGTGGTAATTGACAGGTGTCAGCTTCTCTATCACCTCGTACGGCCCTTGCCATGTTGCCAGGAACTTAATTTCTGCCGTGGGGATTAAGACCAGCACCTTGTCTCCCACCTGGAATTCTCGGGGTTGGGTTCCCCGATTGTAGACCTGGGCTTGGGCGCGTTGGGCCTTCTCCGTATGTTCCCTTACCACTGGCCATATGGCTGTCATCCGCTCCCTCATCGTCTCCACGTGTTCTACCACGCTGTGTAAGGGGGTCGGCTGGGCTTCCCACACCTCCTTGGCGAGATCCATTAGGCCATGTTGAATCCTCCCGTAGAGGAGTTCGAAAGGGGAAAACCCGGTGGATGACTGGGGCACTTCTCGGACCGAGAACATTAGGTGGGGTAGTAGCTGGTTCCAGTTCTTCCCGTCCTGCTTGATGACCTTCCGCAGCATTTGTTTGAGCGTTTTACTGAACCGCTCCACGAGCCCATCCATCTGCAGGTGAAAGACAGGGATCTGCTTGATCTGCAGGAGAGCACACAAATCTTTCATTAGGCGGGACATGAACTCGGTACCTTGGTCGGTCAGGATCTTGTTCGGGATGCCCACCCGGCTAAAGAGGTGGACCAGCTCCCAGGCGATTCCCTTGGATACCACCGCCCGTAGGGGAATGGCCTCGGGATACCGGGTGGCATAATCTACTATTACCAGGATGTACCATTGTCCTCGTGCCATTTTTACCAGGGGTCCCACTATATGGGGCATTGATTTGACACTCCGGGCAGCTACGACAATAGTCTTCAACGGCCCTCCTCATCCCGGGCCAGTGGAACCGGGCGGCGATCCGTTCCCGGGTCGTCTCCATTCCCAGGTGCGCCCCCAACAGATGGGTGTGGGCCAGCTGAAGAACAGTTCCCACGTACTGTCGGGGCAGCAACAGTACCTCTCCAAGTTTCCCCTGTTGGCGTGACACCTGATACGAAAGGTTATTCTTGATTTGGAAATGGGGGTATCACCAGTCACTCACACCCGGAAGTAGCTGGCCATCCACCGCTATCACTTCGGCTGCGGCAGCTTTTAAGTTCGCATCCTCCCAATGTGCAGTCCCGAACTGTCCCCTCAGTTGGCCCATGGCAGGTGTCTCGGCTGGTCCCTCAAAATCGATGAGAGGGAGGATGGGCTCTCCTCCAGTTGTTCAACGGGGGGGGGGGGGGGGGGGTTTGTCAACCGCTAGCTTCCAGGCCGCGCAGGCGACGGGTCGTCCTCGCTTTCGTCTCCCGCTGGCTCGTACCCTTTTCCTCAGCTCGTGCCTCCACAGTGCCGCGAACATCGGACAATCTCGTCCCACGAGGAGGGGTACCGGCAACTCTGGTACGGCATCCACCATCATCTGGCAGCTCCCTTGTGGCGTCACGATGTTGGCCTGTACGGTCGGATACCGCTTGGTGTCACCGTGGACACAGGAAACGGACATCTCCCCGCCACATTCGGTTCCTTGGGCCAGCAGGCTCGTGGCTACGAGTGCAACCACACTCCCGGAGTCCAATAGAGCTTCTGTGTCGTGTCCGTCAACTTTCACCGGGACCATGGGACAGCAAGGTGCCCTCCAAGGCCAGAGTTATACACAAGTCCAAACGCATTGAGGTGAGTGACCCCTTCAGATTAGCGCTGTGGAGCTTGACCTTTGGCAGGACCCATACATTTATAAGTAATTTGGCATTTATTTGTGAAACATTTTGTAGCCGCTGTTCTTCCAGCGTTCGTTCCTGAACCGCCTATTGTGCTTGTTGGGCCCAGACGAACTGAGTTATCAACTCGTCCATGCTGATGCTGCGTAAACGTCAACCCTGATCTGACCATGTTATCAGAATGCCTGCATTCTCCACCACTTGTGGCAGACCAGGGGGTTTGGTCAAGACGTTTACACAGATCAGACGGACAGAATTGTATTAGCTCGGTTTCAAGGGTGTTTATTTAAATAATAAACAAAGAGAAAATAAAAGGACTCCTCCAGGGTTCAGGGTCTTGCTGTATCCTGTGTGGAACAAAACCGAGCTCCCTCCGTTATCTCTGGCACTGATCACGACCGTACAGGAGTAACCTCCCTTCCCCAGTCCCCACTCTTGTGTGCTGCCCTTCTGGCAGCTTTATGGGACTCGTCCAGCTGGTGAGCAATCAGCCCCTTGATTACTCACCAACTACAATCAGCCCCAATTAGTCCTGGCCAGAGAGCCCGTCGAGACCTGGCATGTCCAGCAGAGGGAGCCACGACGAGTCTCCCCCTGGTGGCTAACTTGCTGTATGCCACAATACATTGCTTGTTTTGTCACATAAACTGAAATTAGGCGTACTATTAGAATTTTTGCAAAAAGGAAATGGCGGAGCGATTTCTGCATATTGTACCTTTAACAAGTAGTACATAAAAATAAAACAAGTAAAACAGGTCAAGTGAATCACATGTGGTGGTTTATAAATACTCCAACATTTCATGTACATTTACATTTTAGTCATTTAGCAGACGCTCTTATCCAGAGCGACTTACAGTTAATGCATACATTATTTTTTTATACTGGCCCCCCGTGGGAATCGAACCCACAACCCTGGCGTTGCAAACGCCATGCTCTACCAACCGAGCTACATCCCTGCCGGCCATTCCCTCCCCTACCCTGGACGACGCTGGGCCAATTGTGCGCCGCCCCATGGGTCTCCCGGTCGTGGTCGGCTATGACAGAGCCTGGATTCGAACCAGGATCTCTAGTGGCACAGCTAGCACTGCAATGCAGTGCCTTAGACCGCTGTGCCACTCAGGAGATGTAGGCTGCAGCCCATTTGTCATTTCAGCCACAGATGGTGGGCAAAATATGTTGTGGTGCTGAAGGACAGCTCCGCCAATCATCCAGCTATAAAAATAATCTCACTGACTAACACGTGCAGTTTGTTTGAAATGTGTAATTCCTCAGTTTGCCATGATTTGCCTTTTATTGCTGGAGCTTTGATAAGAAGGCACAGGCCTATAAACAACATATGTGCTGTAATCCAGGATTAGAGCATTTTAGTTTTTGTCATAGCACTACACAGCTGATTCAAATAATCAAAGCTTGATGATGAGTTGGTTATTTGAATCAGCTGTGTAGTCCTTGGGTAAAAACCAAAACGTGCACCCGAGGGGCCCAGGACCAATTTTGGGATACCCTGCGACTATGACAATGCTGTCATCAATATGTCCACTCCTATTTATAGTTTATCTCGTGATCGCGATAAAACAACTTTTGTTATGTTGTGATCATAAAATAAATAAATTGTAATCTCGACATAAAGTGGGAATAATTATTGTATTGTTGTCCGCTCCGGACTTCCTTAATATAGAGATGGTTGTAAAAAATAAAACGTATCCTTTAAGAGTCATGAATATTAAACAGACATGATGGGCGAGGTCTCGTCTAGTTCCCCACGTGGAACCATTTAAAAGTCGCGAGCAAACATTATGCGTCTACTCTGTTCATGTAAAATGCACGGTATGCCTTAACAAAGTGAGGTTTGACTTGCAGTTTAAATATATTCGCTACTTTATGACTACTGTGTGGTAGCTAAATTAGCTTATGAGCTAGGCAGCAAGCTACATTTCCATGGCTTTGAAGTTGATTGGCGTTTCTGACAACGCAGCAATGCTCCCGGACGACTACGGTTGTGTTGTGGCTAATCGTTTCTGTCAGCTTGTGGATGACGAGGCCGACCCGTTCGACTTTATAAAACAAGCCGAGTTACAGAAGGAGAAGAAAAAGAAAGCAAACGATAAGACCGTGAAGCCTAAAAAACCTGGACAGAGGGAGTCCCAGAGAGATAGGCGGGTCCCCGTTTTAGTCGATGGAGAAGACAACCTGCCAAGAAATGATACAGGCAGGTGGCTAGTTTAGTAGGCTAGCTAACAAAGTTAGCTAATGGCTGGCACTGCCTAATTGGCTAGCTAATGAAATAGCTTGCGTCTGTGTGGTCTGTCAAGTTGAAATTGTGTACAGTGCACATTAATTAATTTTAATGAAATGGCTACTAGCTAGACACCAAAGAAAGTACTTGGTTACGTCTGGTTCATAGTTCTTTCACATCAATGAAGATGAGGGAAAGGAAACCTAGAAAGGATGCCAATGCACTGCAGACTAGAGATGCACCCTAGACGCAAGACTCTTCTGTCGTATGGTTGCATAGAGGGCGCTATGATTCTACCCCGAAAATGACTTTATGCCACTGCATAATTATGCCAGTCAGGCCTGCCTAGTCCTACTATTTCTAAATTGTACAAGTCCAGCATTCAGTTGATTTAGGTGCTCTCAGCACTGTGCTGATGCTGCAAAGGTAATCCGCATGAGGGGCAGAACACATGGGTGATGTTTCAGTAGATATTTCCCAAAATAATAGCCTACAATGTTATCGTCCATTCAGAAGGCAAATTTAGTATAGATGCATGCATGGATGACAAATTTGACTCTCAATCTCTGTTTTCAGGTGGTAAGCGTTCTGCCCGAGGGGTAGGGGTCCAGAATGAGAGCAGAGGGGTGGTGGAGGCTGAGAGTGGCACAAGGCGAGCTGTCTTCGGGGAACGCAGGACCAACCAAGAGGAACACCCACAGGAGTACTCCATCCAGAAGTAAGTCGCCTTTCTGTGGAGACGTGACAAATGGAACATGGTCTCTTGTTCCATCGCCTCCCTGGTGTGTGGTTGTCCTAAGAGCTTGGCCAAAGAAGCCTAAAATGTAGGACCCTGCAAATGCCATGCTCAAACCAAACTTTATTTCATTACCTTGTAAAGAAAAAAAGTGTATCACATGACCATCGACAGGACCTTGATTAAACTCTCCACTTATGTTCTCCCCAGGCCAGCTTATTATGCTTACGGCGAAGTCCGAGTGGGCGGCGGAGGCTACAGAAACATTGATACTACCGGTAGCTTCAACCTGAGGGGAAAGAGAGAATATGAACGCTACAGTGGAACGTGAGTGCTTATCAATGTTGCTGTAATTGTCTTTAGGACAGCTGACTTTTAGTTCTGACATTTTGTGTTTCTTTACGTAATATGTATATGTTGTCCTGTGTCTATAGTTTTGTTCAATGTTGTAAGTTTTGTCAAACTTTTTTCCCCCTGCTGCTGTTGGACCAGGTCTCTCTTGAAAAATGTTTATCTCAATGAGAAAAACCTGTATAAATAAAGGTTAAATAAAATTAGATTTGTACAGTTTGTGTAAAAGTAATGTCATTGTTTACCACATGGTAAATGTAAAGTTTTCTTGTCTATCAGAGGAATCTCCCCAGAGGAGAAGAGAGGAGGACGTGGGCCCTGGAACAGGGGCTCTGTTCAAGACCCTACTTCCATGGGGTGAGTTTACTACCACATGGAGAAGTTACAGTAGTAAACGTGTTATTGATTATTTTACATTATAAATCCTAGTGACGGACGGTTTAGCATGGTTACGATCTCCTTTATAGTGATGTAGGGGTGAATGTGAAGCCTGACGCAGGAGGCATCCCACCTGAGGCCGGCCAACAGCCAGCGGAGATGGAGGGAGAGAATCGGTGAGTCACCACACACGGGAGAGTACAACGCACGCACACCAACTCAACTTTTGGGGGTGATAACATTAATAGATACTGGGAAGATGCACAGTGCAACAGGTTTATAATTTGTTTTTAGCAGTGGTTTTATTTATCCCTGCCATTCATCACAGCCCATCAGAGGAGGATGTGGTGGTCCAAGTTGCCATGGAGATGTCTCTGGATGAGTGGAAGGCCCTACAGGAGCTGAGTCGCCCCAAGGCTGAGTTGAACCTCCGTAAGCCGGACAGCAAGGTGCCCTCCAAGGCCAGAGTTATACACAAGTCCAAACGCATTGAGGTGAGTGACCCCTTCAGATTAGCGTTGTGGAGCTTGACCTTTGGCAGGACCCATACATTTTATAAGTAATTTGGCATTTATTTGTGATAAAGTTGATGCGTTTCTATTGTCTACATTTGGCATTTCCTCCACTAGAACTTGAAGGCGGAGTCTGTGGAAGAACAGGAAGAGGACTACCACTTCTCCAGTCTGCGCAGATCTGCCAATGACATCACTTCCCATTTGGAGTTCAACTTTGGCAGCCTGCAGCGCCCCAGCCGAGGGGGGAGGGGACAAGGCAGGGGGGAGAGAGGGGGGATGACTTGTCACCCTGAGAGAGCAGAGAAGACTGAAAGGGTAGGTCTTCTCTCCTTTAGACAAGATGCTGGAAACATTACATTAGGGCAGGGGGATTTGAGTTCTGTACAGAGCAGTTTTATTTGAAGTGAACACTGCTGGCAAGGGTTTGACCATTTCCTGGTTAAAAACCTGATTTTATTTTTTATTCAATGAAATACAATGACTAAAATAAAAGATTTGTGAGGTTAAAACTTCTTTCTAGAAGCATGAAAAAATGTCTATGTATCCTATCACCACTCATGTTAATGACCTGTTGCGCTTCTCTCCAGGCTTATGTCCTAGCCCCAAACCCAGAAGACCCTGAGGACTTCCCTGCATTGGCTGTGGGGAGATGAATTCTATGCAAATGGTGATTTACCTAATACATTTTTTGGGTGCTTATACTGTTTATTATTATTATATATTTTTTTTTATAGCCTAGAGATTCATTCTATTACAAAGGATTTGCCGTTTACATTTGCCTTCTGGTGAAATGGGTTGCACTCTTATCTAAGCACTGTATGGTTTGTTGCTATGCCAACACTGGTTCTTGTGTACATTTGTGCTATTTCTTCTCATGGCTTGTTCTGACTGAAGGCAATGTTCAATAAGACCTGTGACAAAATGCACTGTTGATGGCTTGTGTCTTGTCTTACTCTGTTCCTCTTAAGGACACGACAGCCCAACACTAAGGTCTGCCTTGCACAGTGGGTACACCGCCTCAGACCACAGAATATTGGCAGTCCATGTTCTGATAATTTCCCAGTGATACATTTTCAATCGCCACTGTTCATCGCCACCCAGCAGTTGTGATCTACTGCGAACGGCTGATGTTCCTGTTGGTCTGTCTTGTACTGTATACACTTGAGTCTTACCAGTTACAGTTAGGGGTGTTCTACATGATGTGACTTCATAGATGTACAGCTGCAGACTGAACGTTCAGAACACTCGCCACAACACACTAAACATTAATCGTTTACTTTATCCTGTGATCTGCAACCACTATCCAACACCTGTTCTCTGTTGCTTTCATCTAGCACAATGAAGTGTACAAGATTGAAAGTACAAAGCTTGGAAAATAATGAGTGGCGCTAGCGAGGTGTCCATGAACAGAATTCAGTTGGTTTTTGAAGCACAGGATGTTGCATGTATTTTAATAACTGTCAGACAATGGTGAGTAAGTGGTGGGATTTTATTTTTTCAAAGCTGGTATAGTCCATGTGCTCTGAGCAGATATATATTGCATGATAATCACGAATGCGATGTGGCCCGTTAGGACTCTTTTTTTTTAATGCAATACTTACTATCTTCTAGTATGGTTCATCAAAACAAGTACAAAAATATTTAAAGTACAAATCAATTGTTTTCAGTATCTCAAATGTTGACTTATTTACAGGTGTAAGTACAGCAGCTCAACAAATAGACTAGAAGCTTCACTGGAGGAAAAGGAAACGGGCATAGAAATACAACATCCAGAATAGATAGAAATGAAAGGACATCATGGACAAGCCATCTATTATTCAACAGGGTGGCATCGTAATAGTTCTATGCATTACATTTCTATCTGCAACATTCAGAAAGATGCTCCCAAAACAGCATACCCACCCCCCCGGAGTAGACATTGTGCTTGTTCAAGAGGGCTGACTTGAGCTAGGCGTTTCACAACTTCTCATCTACAAAACACTTAAACTTCCAAAAACTGGGCATGGAATGATCCCTATCATACAACAAAGGTTAAGAAATCTGAGCGGTAACTAGCTCTGAAGGACATTTGTCAACAAGCAGACTCATTAGTTTGACAGTTCAGGATAAGTCAGGATTACTATGGCAACCTACGTAAACAAGCAGGCAATGTTTATGTACAGGTAACTTCCAAAATAAAGGAACCGCCAACATAGTGTCTTATAGGGCGTTGGCCCACCACAACAGCTTCAATGTGCCTGGGCATAGATTCTACAAGAGTATGGATCTGGTGATTAAGATGCACACACCCTTTAAACCCCCTATGCTCCTCTGAGACCCCTCTTTCAATGTCACTGAGATCCCTGGTAGCCAAAATAATGGGCAACTGGGGATTTTTGTACATGACCCTAAGCATGATGGGATGTTAATTAACTCAGGAAGCTGAGGGATATACTACGTACCTGGTTTGTGGAGTTAGTCAGGTAACTTTCGTCAACTGAGTTCAAATCAGGATAACCGGTACAACGAAAGTGGCTAATCTTTTTAGCCAGGTACATTTCGCTGCAATGAATGATTCAGAACTAACCTGCTCCGGGGCAGGCGAACTCCATTAATCCTGAATTAAGTTGAGGACCAATGAAATCAGATTCCCCTCCCTCTCTAATCTCACCTTTTGCGTCTTCATCCCTTTTTTTTTGAGGATTATTTAAATATTGTATTAATCAAATATTGTTTAAAGACATTAAAATACCTATCACATATTTAGTAATGACAGGATGCATTTGAACGTTCACACAGTTAAAACCTTCGTATTACCTTATTTTATCCATAGGAGTGGGGAAAAGGTGTGCATTATAAGCACACCGAATACTGAATTAATAAGTATTAAAAGACAGCACTTCTAATAGCGTATTTCACATTATAAACTGGGTGGTTAAAGCCCTGAATGCTGATTGCATGTGGTATATTAGACCGTATACCATGGGTATGACATAACATTTATTTGTACTGCTCTAATTACGTTGGTAACCAGTTTATAATAGCAATAAGGCACCTCGGGTTTGTGGTATATTGCCAATATACCACAGCTACAGTGGCGCATATTCATGGAGGCCAGGCTTCCCCAAATATTTGACCAATACATATTATAAAATAATGTATCTTTCGTCCCTGTGTTTTCATACTTTTCCATCAATTTGCAAGTGGCTGAATCTCACCAGAGAAATCATCAGAGCGAGGGAAAACAGCACCCCTCTGTCTCAGTATGTGTAGCCCATGTATCTGATGCTTTCTGGACCAAAAGAGTATAACACGTTGCCGCCGTAGCATTTGATTGATTGATGCCAGCAAGCATTTGGCCTCCCTTGATACATTTTTTTAAATAAAAGGATTAGCCAATCAGCGTTGAGCTGAGCTCGACCGTGGGTTGTCCTGGTGCAGCAAAACACCCCCCCCCAAGGGAGGCCAGTTTGGATTTGGCTTCACACCAATCAAATAACTTCCCAAGCAAAATGTCATTTTCAGAAAAACATGTCTGTTTCTGGTCTGCTTGTGTTGATGTCCTGCAGTACCTAGCTTGCTAAATCGTCCCTTTTCTAAGCCATGGATGGAGATGGGGATTTGGACTTGTGGTTTTGACTTAATTCTTTGTCCAGGCCAATGATTATGACGGCGATTCGGATCTAACTAAAAATTATGTTGTGCCACTGGCCTGAGACGATTGAAGTTCAATATGTAGCCTAGTAGGCTCACATCAACTAGCTAGCTAACTTAGCTGCTTCATTGTTGCCCATGCGAGGAAGTTAGGCTACATAGCTAAAATGCTTGCTAGCCTATGACAACAAAAACTAAAAGTGTACTGTATGACAGAGCCATTAACCGTTTTGCCAACATGAAAGAGAGGATGGTATTTGCTTTCAGCTAGTCGACGAGTAGGGTAGCAGAGACAGAAATCAGTACCATGGACAGCCACATGATATTTAGCAACATTGATTGGACAAAATAGTTTTTGGTATCTTTAGGTTTGTTTTCAGCATATTAAACTAAGCATATATAGCCATGTTGATTTGATGATGTTTAAGTTGAATGGTGCTGGAATAGCGAAGGCAGTGCTCCTGTTGTCTTTGTGGTGATTGCGGTAACTCTGTGGTTTTAAAATCAGTAGTTGTTTAGTAAACTGTCAAACATTAACTTGCTTGACCATGCTGCACGTGATATAACTGTTTGTTACATGCAATATTTGCTTTGTGGACTTTACCAGACAGATGTTGCTCTCCGGTTTTGTGATGAAACAAAAATGTGTAGTTGAATTTATTCCGCCACACTGTGTGACTGTTGTCTTTTTGTTGTCACGGCCTTATTGTAGATCACGGTGACATATGAATGAATGGGTTATAGAGCAAACAACGCAATTATCACAACATAGATTGTAATATGGCTTTTTTTTTTACTGGCTTGGCTTCCTCAGTGATTTTACCCACGCACCGCTACTGCATGGCTTAGGGCTGTTCTTAGGCACGACGCAACATATTGGCCATATACCCACACCTCCTCGGGCCTTATTGCTTAATTATAGCATGCTGAATTTTCAAGAACTTTTCTTTCATGTTGATTTCGGAAAATATTAAAATGTGGCATTGACTTGCCCATGGATCGATGTTCGACTAGGCACGTGCGACATGTATGCCCAATTACAAGCCCGATGGAGTTAGCGGCAGGCAGACGAGCAATATCCACCGTCGTAGTATGAAGCCTGAGCTGGAATGTGAAGCTAACTGAAGCTAGCTACCCCTCTGCTTACAATAGCCCTCAATTACTTAAGTGTTTCCTTTATTTTGGCAGTTACATTTGAAATGGCACTATTCCCACTACTTAGGGCCAGGACACACACTTTGTTTTTTTTTAATGGAAAAAAAAACATTTTAGTCATTTTAGCAGACGCTCTTATCCAGAGCGATTTACAGTTAGTGAGTGCATACATTTTCATACTGGCCCCCCGTGGGAAACGAACCCACAACCCTGGCGTTGCAAGCGCCATGCTCTACCAACTGAGCTACACCGGGCCTTTCATGATATAAACAGTGAAATATATAAAAAAATTACTGCCTTGTGATAAAGAGGGTTGGCAAATTAATTCCAAACTAACCGAACATGGTTTACATCTTAATCATATCTGATACTTTTTCTTCCCATTCACAATCAGACATCACATTTCCTCATCAACATCATCCCTTAAATCAACAATTGACTGGTTCAAGTAAAATAAACCCAGTCCCGCTTAAGAAATGAAAACAAAAATCTCAATTTGCAGGAGCTGTAGGTAGACTGTACTCCTTTAGAATGCCAGAACCCCAGGCTCAGCGCAGTTGAGGAGCTCTAGCTTTGGGTATGGAGTGACTGAAGGGACAAAAAGTACACAATTACACCCAGGCAGAGAGAGAAATAGGACATACAGCTCATACACCTCAAAAACACTACATTGGCTTCTATTCATTAGACTCAAGTGGTTAGAAATTACACAATTTGCCAGATTTTACTATGCATGTAGTCTGTCCATTAAAATCTTCATAAAAGGAGAAGAGGCTGACTAGAGACATCTCCCTCACTAACAACAGCATAGAACAGAGCAGTAAGACGACGATAGAAAAGGGAAATAGATACCATAGTCTCGTAAAGCGCATTGATTGTAAAGAACATCGAGTTTTCCGTCCTCTGGACGTGTGTCTGTTAAGAGGGAAATTAAAAAGAAGAAAAGAGGGGGAAGCAAAGGGAAATGTGATTCCCCTCGTAGAACAATGATTTATGTCAGCAGAATCACAAACAGCCAATAACAGGTTGCCGGTGTCTGAAAACAAGGAGACAGTGTGAGCAGTAAAGTCCAGAGAAGCTATAGCCAGTCATACTCTTGAATCATCCATTCCAATAGAACATGCATGGAGCCATAGGGAGTGTGAAGCACTGGAGAGAGTGTTCAATTGTTTGAGGCGGTGTGTTGAAGGGAGCTTGAAAGTGTTTGGAAGGTCATGTGAAATGCAAAGGCTCAGTTAAGTAGACCTTGGTGTGTGGAGGACCAACAGAGTAGGAGAGAGTGAGGTTGAGCCCAGAGAACGGGGTTGAAGAGAGGCTAGGTGGGCTTGCCTTCTGAGGGGCCTGCAGCATGTTTAGGTTGGACAGATTGCCTGTGCTGACTGGGCTGCCTGCGTTGGCAGCTGTGTCTCTATGGCAGCCACTGGACTCACAGCACACTGTTTCTCTGTCGCTGGCCACTACATGCATGCTGCCTAGAGACCTGGCTAGTCTGGAGTGGCACAGGGAGCTGGCGGAGAGGAGGGAACGGGTTAATGGAGTCAACATGGAACCATGAATGGCTATGGCAGGTTCTGTCCAGTTTACTTCACACACTTGTGTCAACTCTTTTCTGTATGACTGAGTAAACAAACTTGATAAGTGTAGTTGCAACGCAAGCCATTTAATATGAATATACAGCTAATAAATATGAGAAATAGAGCACCCTATATCAGCAGTGCCCGAGCCAAATCCTAACTTAAGTTACACACACCCAATTTTGACTTTCACATAGATCATGCACTGCTGTCAATGAAAGCAGTAGTTTGAATTCTCTAGGACGGCTCATTGGAGACATTGCCACTAACCTGCCCCCCACACTGTTGGCAGGCAGCGAGGTTCTGGTTCTCTTCCTATTGTCTGAGGCATCGGGCCCACTAGACTGCAGGAGAATCCTGGAGCAGACACACAACTCACACTTTAATGCTGATGCTCAACAGGTGTGTGTGTGTGTGTGTGTGTGTGTGTGTGTGTGTGTGTGTGTGTGTGTGTGTGAGACACGTTCAGGATGCGTTTAAGTACCTTAAAGACTGCGACGAGGACCTGGTGTGAATCTTGTTCTCTTCTTGTCTGTAAACAAACACACACCATATTTCAACACCAACAGCAAGCGAGGGACAAAGACAGGAGGAGATAGAGAGAGGGAGAGGGAGAGAGAGACAGAGAGAGCAAACAGGCAGCAGCTGCAGAATAATCCAGAATTCTAAGATCGTTGATCCATGTAGATTTCATTACACAATGAATCATTCTCGTAATGCAATGGAACCATCATTCATTAACCTATGGCTCTTAGAGGTTCTAATTAGTTATCCCCAACTTTAAAATGTGACACTGAGTTTGATGCAAAGTGAGTGGAATGTGAGGCAATAAAAGCACTGTTTGCTCAGATTCTGGAGGCCTGCCAGAGGTAAAATATAAGCTGGCTGATGTCTTAGGGCACTTAATTATGAATTTGATAAATATCTCCTTTGATAAATTAATTGAAGTGCAACCTTCAGTGTTGGGTGGGAGGGATTTGCATTGGCTTTGCTGATTTGCAGCGAAGGGTGCCATTACTCCAAAACAGAGATTCAAGGAGTGAAATGTATAGGCTATGGTTATTACTTGCCGTACTTAAAGTTAAACTCAGGACGATCATTGTCAGCCAAGGAGGACACAGCGTTGTAAATAACAGACCATCGAAACGGGATTCCTGCCCTCCCATTTTCAAAGATATAAACTTATTTTGCAGCCAGGGGGTGACAAAACGTGTAGCAGAACATTGAAGGAGGTTTAGAAGTGTAAAGACAGGTGAGGATGGGGGGCGGGAGACGGGGCCAGGCACATAAACTGGTGTTGAGGAGGGGGTTAATAAGGTGAGGGGACACACTTACAGCATTCTCAGTTAGACTACGGAAGGGGGAAGGGTTTGGGGGACAGACTGGCAGGAGAGCTCAGTGAAATCCTAACCCGTCTATACAGAAATGCAGGATGGAAGAAGGGAAGCCATACACAATCCACCACAGGGCAAGGCTACACAGGGACGAGAGCAGCATGGCTACCAACCATCTACCACAGGGCAAGGCTACACAGGGACGAGAGCAGCATGGCTACCAACCATCTACCACAGGGCAAGGCTACACAGGGACGAGAGCAGCATGGCTACCAACCATCTACCACAGGGCAAGGCTACACAGGGACGAGAGCAGCATGGCTACCAACCATCTACCACAGGGCAAGGCTACACAGGGACGAGAGCAGCATGGCTACCAACCATCTAAAAGGAGGGGAAAACATCCAACAAACAGAACAGAAACAAAAACATGACAAAAAGGAAGGATAGACAGAGAGACGTCCAGAGAGGAGAGAATCTCACTTGTTCCCCCCCTCCCCCACTGGATCAGGCTTAGCCAACAGCAAAGCCCCATCATGAATCTTACACATCCACTAACCTGTAGCCTGGGTGCCAGACCCTTTCTACTAAAGCCAGCTGGTTGTGGTCTTGCTTGACAAAGTAGGATAGTGGTATTATTACATGCTGAAATTGTTAGGCACCCAGGCTACATATTCACTAGCAGAACCAGGCTAACAAGTAAAGCCTTTTCATGTTACACCACAGCAGAAAGGGTACATGCTAGGTTTTCACTAACTACTCAAGTCTCACCTTTAAATTCTGGCATTGATTTTAGACAACCTGTTTTCCACAGCATGCTAAAAGTGTTTCCCAAATGGTGGGCTAGGACTTTGACCCCCATGCAGTGATAATAGCACCTTTCAGAGTCTACTATATTCTGTGTTTGCTGAGGTATAGGCCTAAGAGTGGTTTAAAATGGGGAATCAGTAGGGAAACATGAAAGCTTGCTTCCAGTTTCCTGTAAGACTGACTTCAATGGAGAATGCAATCAAAGACACGGTGTAAAACCAAATGGCACCTTCATATATAGGCCTAGTCACCTGAAGAAATGCTTCACACAATGTGTATGTGTAAATACAAAATTCACCTAAAGAAATATATATAAAAAAAGAAAAAGAAACACATTCCCCTCTCTGTGTCCAGGAGCCAAATGTTGTCCCACAGAGAACACCAAGGGCATGTCACAATCATGTGTAGGCTACACTCATAAGTCTGTAATGGTGCCTGTGGCAGATAGTGGTCAATTATGGACAGAAATGGGGACTTACTGGCAATAAGAGCAATATAATTCCAAAGACAAGAGTACAAGGGACAGAAGTGGCCTATGGTGCTTGGACCTTAACTACCACAAGAGTCCGAGGGATTGTTCCAAGATAAATGTGGGTTTGGTTCAGTAGAAGACTTCTAGGCAGGAAGAAGCAAGGTTCGAACAGCAGACAGGCACTGACCCAGTCACAAACACAATGGAAAAATATACATTTGCAGCATTTTATATTCAACACGGCCCAAAACATAGAACATCTTACACACAAACAATACAGAGGCCATGCATGTCAAAGGTTAAATCATGCTTTTAGTCGTGCATTGGTAAAAAAAAAAAAAAAGATCACACGTGCGGTGCCCACAGTCATGTTGCATTGTGCATTTCAGTCCCTTTCACAGAGGAAAAACTAAAATGGAAGCTAGATTATGATTGAGTTTAACAGGAGTTTAAGATTTGGACTGCGATTCACAGCAAATCTCAGAGCATACTGCTGTATCCATGATGGAGAAACCACATTCTGTCTCACGTCAATAGTACAAGTAGTCCTCTGAACCCCCTCTACAGGAGATTCTCAGCCTTGCTAGCCTGTGCAGATCAAAGCAGCACGTGCCAGAACAGGTGACCAAAATCATTCATCACATTATCCAGCCATCCACTACATACCTTAACGTACCGCGGTCACCCAAAAGCCACACATCCATTTGCATGGCACAATTTATACAGGAAGAGGAAGCTAGTCAGACAGGAAGTGACATGCACTTACCTCCATTATACAAAACCTCACTTCCTCTCTCTGTGTCTGTTTTTTTCTCTGTGTTTTTTTCCCCTCTCTTCCGCTCTGTCTCTCTGCTACATTTTAAAATGCAGACACTCCAGACAGCACTCTGGCCACACGATGCCTAAGAGGCTCCAGCAATGTACTACCGCCTGCCTGCCACAGGATAACAAAACCCACAGCCATAGGTGTACACAGTTGTCTGTAAACTGTCCATGTTGGCACCAAATGTTTCACAACAATAACATTCTCATTTGGATTCTCAGTGGATGTGCCAACATGGAATCCTTTAAAATAGTAAATCTGGCACCCATTAAAATAGTAAAGTATACCTAGCCCATGTGGGCTTATAAGATACTACTTTCAGTCATTCTATGTAGCCAGTATAATCAACAATCAATTAGTGTTAGGATCCTGAGTGGCAGCTATATGGTATGGTTCTGAGGCAGCCAGTGGAAAATAAGCCATGATTACTAGACCAAATAAATGGCACAAACAGAACAACAATCTGACTGTTATATTAAGGTAATTCAAGCTGTAAAACTAAGCTAAACTCCATTCAACCCAAAACCTGTATAGAAACCCATAGTAGATGTGTATAATGGGACAATTATAAATAATGAGGCTAAAATCAAATCCTTGTCACCCAAGAATCATGTTGGGGCATGAAATGACCTGAAAAAAGGAAACCCTACAACAATATCAAAGGATCTCAAATCATAATCCGGATGAAACCTCAACTTCCTCTGAACAACATCAAAACAACAAATGACTTCGATAAGATGACTACACAGCCTGCTCCTACCCCCCCCAATTACAATGTTAAGGGCTTTGAGCACTATATAAAACCATTTAATTAATTTGATCGCTCAATCAAATGCATGAGAATGTAGGAGAAGGGGGGTTGCACTTATTTCAGTATCCTGAAACAAGTCAGTGTGATGCATGATGGGAGTTGTAGGCAGATAGGAGACTTACGATAGGGAGCCTGTGGATGTTCTCGCCTGCCTCTTGCTCTTCAGGGCTCGCAGTTTATCACCCTGCGTGATGCCATTTCTCTCCTCATCGTCACTATACTGAGGGAGATGGAATAGGGAGAAAAACTGTGAGAGAATATATGGTAAAAAGAAAGAAAGAGAAATACATTTCCTTACCATTCCATCCCTTCTTTCTTCACATGAAGGTATTTTCAATTTCGGCATATCAAAGAAACCAGAAAGGATTTCCAAAATTCTCACCAGTTCTGTCTCTTCCTTTTCGGACGTCCTGTTTTTGTTGCTGCCGTTGATAGTGATGTCATCAACCCCCGACAGGATCCTGGTGACAGCCAGCTTGCCGTTCTCCTGCTTGTTCATCTTCTCCCGGAAAACATCTCCCTCCGACCACAGGCTGCTCTGCTTACTGCAGCATCATGAGAAAAACAGCAATCAAGTTGTACATCTCCCTACAAACATATTGGTTACTGATCAACAATTGATACTCAACTCAATCCAAGAGCTCCCAGAACTGAAACGCTTGAGTTGAATCGGGTGTGTTAGTGATCGGTTGGAACAAAAGTCCGGTTGTGGCTCCCCAGGACTAGAGCTGGTGACCACTGATCTATACAGTAATATCCTTCACAACAATGGATTGAATCTAGATAAATCAGACACATACTCTTCCACAAAGTTTTGTTGTGGTCCGATGACGGATCCGGGCCGGCAGATCCTCATCCAGGCAATGGCCTCGGACGCAGTCAGGCGGTAGTGCTTCATCATGTAGCAGCCTATCAGAGTGCCTGTTCGACCCAGACCCGCTGAAAAACGTCAGCATTGGTTAAATACATAGTAATTGATCAGACTTTTGGTGCAAATCTTTCCCATTCATTTGGGATTGCGGCCTACAAAAGATGGTTTGAAACATGGCCTCCAGCCCTCCACTCAACTCCAGATCCAGTTTGTGGTATAAAAGGATAATATAATGAGGTCTTGTACCTTTGCAGTGAACAGCGATAGCTCCGTCTGCGTTCTCACAGATGTTGAGGAACTTTCTGACAATGGAGTCATTTGGCGTGCTACCGTCCACGAAGAAGAGGTCGTGGTGCTCGAAGCCCATGTCTGTGAAGCGCTTGGCGTCGTACATCTTCTTGTTGAGACGGACGATGGCTGTGATGTTGTGTTTCCTGAAATAAGGAAAGTAGGCCTCGGGGGCATGGAGAGGGTAACCTGGAGAGAGAACAAGGTGTTTGTAGAAAGCTGCAATTGAAAAAATATATATACAAAATCTGTACTCCTGAAGTAACATATTTGTACATAGGTGTAGGAGAAGTGTACACACAGTATTTGATTACGGTCTGTGACTGAAATGTTGCATGTTCCTCGATATCCACTTTGCAAGTATAGGCTTCTACATAGTGTAAGGGAGTTCACTCCCCAGTCAATCTCAGTAGGGAAAATATCCCAATTTGGCAGCATGTCCTTATGGCTCAGATTGCAGAAAGCTAATCTGGAGGGTCTCACCTACCATTCTCTATTCTGCTTTTTGGATGAGGACCGCTGAACGCTAGGAACTTCCCAGGAATTATCCAGTTGAAATCTCCATTTTCTGCTCTCTGTAAACAAGAGATATGGACAGAATTATGAATCACTTACTGATGTTTACTCAAGTTGCATTCTGAAGTATGATAATGAATACTTACCTCGTAATGTTCGTATTCCTCCACATCAAACTGGGAGAAATCGAGCCAGCCAAACTGCAGAGCCTGAAGAGAAAGTTAAATTTCCATGCTCCAAATAAAATTATGCAATATTTATTACATTTCATAAATGTGCAGCTACAAATTAACTTGTTAGTCTAGCATCAGAATGACTGAAGCACTATACCTTGTATATGGCACGCAGGCAGTCTAGAATATTCAGATTGTACACGCAGGTTCCAAAAGAGGCATCTCTGTTTAAAACAAACCAGAAACAATCCAAATCAACTTCATCTTCTTAAAGCATTCACACCACATTTATAAGGAATAAATACATATCAGATTACAGCCCCAGACAGCGTAATAAAAGCTTGATCAACTGTCAGACACTACTTTCTAACATGTGCGCTTGAGAAGTTCCTAGCTCTGTGAAGTTCTCCGTCAGTGTGTGTGTGTTTACCTGAAGGGCAGGTAGGTAGAGTTCCTGGACACCAGTAGACTGTAGGCTTCCTCTGGCGTCTTCTGCAGATGCATCACCTTGAAACAAACACAGGCCAGTATTATGGAGAAACTACTAATGGATAGCGACATTTTAATGAAGATTCACAAGCACTTTTAGTGCACGTAACATACAATCCGTCATGAGTCAGGGCTATCAATGGGTATGACTTCTCTGCTGAGTGAGAAATACTTACTGCATATGAACCAATAAGATAGGCAGCATTGGCTTGTTTCTTATTATCGCCACAAGTATAAAATACTATCTTCTTCTTTGCTAGAGTGAATGACTGCTCCAGATGTGGGGAAACAACAAAATAACACCGTTAGCCAGGCTTATCATTTTGCACATCACTACACAAAAGAATCCTGATCCCTGACTACAGACTATCAATGTAGCAAGTAGTGTTGTTTATACAGAAGAGTAATAAGCTGAGGAAAGGCTATTTGTTTTGTTAACTTTTCCATAAGCTTGTCGTCTTACACAAACAGGCCTAGGCCGGCTATAATAAGCAATAATGTCATTAAGTTGTCCAGGACTGGACATCTCTGAACTCAGTGCTCTACAAAGCACTCCCTGTTCTAAAACCCTGCCAAAATTATCTTCAAGAATATACAAACATTACCCCTTCTCTGACTAGTGTGACATAACTTCTATTTGGTTAGGCTGAGAGAACGGTTGACTATGGACTGTCAGTGTGTGTGTTTTGAGGTTTGAGTTTCTTTACCTTGAGCTTTTTAGTGAGCTTGCAACAAAAGCGATAAAACATGGCCAGGTTGAGCGGGCCAAAGTCTGCATAGAAGCTGGAAGAAAGAGAGCACAAGACACAGGCAGGTTAGGTTAGGTAAAGCCACGTTTCATTAGAGACTATTCAGAAAGGTGAAACGTTGAGGACGTTACAGATAGAAAATGTTTTTTTTGCATTATTACCTAGTCTCTGTGACAAGAATACCTTATCTAAACTCAGCAAAAAAAAGAAACGTCCCTTTTTCAGGACCCTGTCTTTCAAAGATAATTCGTAAAAATCCAAATAACTTCACAGATCTTTATTGTAAAGGGTTTAAACACTGTTTCCCATGCTTGTTCAATGAACCATAAACAATTAATGAACATGCACCTGTGGAACGGTCGTTAAGACACTAACAGCTTATAGACGGTAGGCAATTAAGGTCAGTTATGAAAACTTAGGACACTAAAGAGGCCTTTCTACTGACTCTGAAAAACACCAAAAGAAAGATGCCCATGGTCCCTGCTAATCTGCGTGAACGTGCCTTAGGCATGCTGCAAGAAGACACGAGAACTGCAGATGTGGCCAGGGCAATAAATTGCAATGTCCGTACTGTGAGACGCCTAAGACAGCGCTACAGGGACAGGACGGACAGCTGATCATCCTCACGGTGGCAGACTACGTGTAACAACACCTGCGCAGGATCGGTACATCCGAACATCACACCTGTGGTACAGGATGGCAACAACAACTGCCCGAGTTACACCAGGAATGCACAATCCCTCCATCAGTGCTCAGACTGTCCGCAATAGGCTGAGAGGCGCTGGACTGAGGGCTTGTAGGCCTGTTGTAAGGCAGGTCCTCACCAGACATCACCGGCAACAACTTCACCTATGGGCACAAACCCACCGTCGCTGGACCAGACAGGACTGGCAAAAAGTGCTCTTCACTGACGAGCCGCGGTTTTGTCTCACCAGGGGTGATGGTCAGATTCGCGTTTATCGTCAAAGGAATGAACGTTACACCGAGGCCTGTACTCTGGAGTGGGATCGATTTGGAGGTGGAGGGTCCGTCATGGTCTGGGGGGGTGTGTCACAGCATCATCGGACTGAGCTTGTTGTCATTGCAGGCAATCTCAACGCTGTGCGTTACAGGGAAGACGTCCTCCTCCCTCATCTGGTACCCTTCCTGCAGGCTCATCCTGACATGACCCTCCAGCATGACAATGCCACCAGCCATACTGCTCGTTCTGTGCGTGATTTCCAGCAAGACAAGAATGTCAGTGTTCTGCCATGGCCAGCGAAGAGCCCGGATCTCAATCCCATTGAGCACGTCTGGGACCTGTTGGATCGGAGGGTGAGGGCTAGGGCCATTCCCCCCAGAATTGTCTGGGAATTTGCAGGTGCCTTGGTAGAAGAGTGGGGTAACATCTCACAGCAAGAACTGGCTAATCTGGTGCAGTCCATGAGGAGGCGATGCACTGCAGTACTAAATGCAGCTGGTGGCTGACTGTTACTTTTGACCTCCCCTTTGTTCAGGGACATACTATTCCATTTCTGTTAGTCACGTCTGTGGAACTTGTTCAGTTTATGTCTCAGTTGTTGACTCTTGTTATGTTCATACAAATATTTACACATGTTAAGTTTGCTGAAAACAAACGCAGTTGACAGTGAGAGGACGTTTCTTTCTTTGCTGAGTTTACATGATATATTCATATGTGAGTGTTCTGTAATGTCAAACCTGTCTTTTAATTGTCCAATAGATTTAAGTCAATTAATCAACTATCCTAAATAAGCCCCGGATGAAGACATTTATTGTGACAATAGCCATATTTCAGAGCCTATATGTTGCACTATGTGAACTTTACTCTTAGCCAATGAACATTCATACACACACCACACCTGCTATACATAATGCATCTGCAACGGCTTAAACAATTAACTAGTGAACTGCAAATATAGTCTTTTGAATATGGTCTACGAACATCCTGTAATACAAAGTACCCACTTTTCATATGACAGCTCTTCGTCTATGCAGAAGAAATGTCTGTCAGCTGTGCTTTTTATCTTCTGCTGCAGTATGGCGAAATACAGTTGATCTGGAGGAGAGAGAAAAAATACAACAGAAGAAAGGGGGTTTAAAAGCTTTGTTTGGCACACTGTGTGTTGGGGGGGGGGGGGGGGGGGGAGGCTTCAGTGAAAACTAGTTTGTATTATATGCTGTTTGACTTTTATCATGGGTTCGATTTGATTATGGACAGTCAAACAAACATACAACGCAGCTACACATGAATGCTTGTTAATTGTGACAATGTGTGGACAAAACAAATGGTACATACCCTACACATCGCACGTGTCAGTTTGAATTTGAATTTCCCCCGGAAATGCCTCGACTGACTTATTTTAACAATCTGCTGTAGGGTTTGTTTTCTTTCAGAACAGCACTTACCTTTGATGATTTCAATACTTTTACTTGTGACATTGTCCTCGGTCATTCTGATAGCGACTTGAGCCAACAATGAGTTACCAAGTCAAGTTTAACGGCAATTGTTTGCTGTATTCCCTTTACTTTAATATAGACGCGCATAAATAATAACTTAAACGTCTGTCATAGCCACAGTCCAGCACAATAACATACACACTCAGTAGGTTAAACAACATCTATTTTCTATATCCCGTGAAATTAAAACGCTCCACAGAAGCGAACTGCAAAATATGGTATAGACTACCACTCAAAAACCACAGAAAGTGCAACAAATATTTCTCTAAAAAATTTCCTAGCAAAAAGCTTTGCTTGGCAATGGATATAAATGTGTCTCAGTTAGCGAAATCTGGTAAAATATACTGATATGACAAATAAAACGTCAACTTGCTTAGCGACGAAAAATAAATGCCTGCATAGGAGAGGTGCTACGTACTCTGCTCAAAACGACTTCTGAAGGAAACTCATAAGCGCCACCCACTGCAACAATGTAACGTTATTGGTTCAAGGAAACCGTAAACGCTACACAGTTGCAGGGTTGGCAGGCCAATCATTCTACGTTCTAGCTTGAGGTTTTTTAAAGTTCACTTGAGATTCTAATTGGAACGCTGCCCAAGCCGTTGCTAGGAGATTAGCTTCGCTTGGCCAATAGAAATATATCTCCAATTTTGACCGAACACTTCCATCGTAGTCCTCAAGTGAGGGATGGGTTAGATCAAGCGATACGTGTTGAATTGATTGCAATTTTTTTATTACCAAGTTATGACAAAACGATCATGTTGGTTCTACAGGACTGTAGCCTATCATGCAGGAGGTAGCCTGACAAACAGCCTACAGTAGACCTATTGTTTCTGTGTGCAAAAACCTCGCCAATTCTCAATGAAAAATAACAAGTGAGAGAACTTCCTTTAGTGGTGCTCGGCATATAAAAACAGCCAAATTATCAGCCTTTTGATTCAGATTTATTGTCGCCCTATCCTAATTTTCGGGGTCATAAAGGATTCTGCATTCTCTGCTGCTCATGGTCAATATAGAAATAGGCCTAGACGAAAATGCATAAATTGGGGTAAATGTGATCTGACTGCAACATTGGTGACTGCATTTACGCAGCCGCATAAAAATGCATCCAAACGTAGACTACGAATACAATCACAAGAGGATCAGTCAAATATAGCCTGCATCATAGAAACTCTAACCCAAATAGGTTGTTTTTCATTTAGGCTGTCATGTCTGACATGCAATCAAAAAGCTGAAAACGTGGTGTCCCAACGATGATATGTACTCAATACTGTACTTCAATGCATTAGCGATTAGAAACCGATGGTGTCGCCATTTTAGTTCAAAACAGCTGCAGGAAAATCACTTGTAGGTCTAATAGTCAGACACATCATATTATCTGTATTCAGACACCGCAAGGCCAGGTAGCCTACTGTCTATGCACCAAGCTGGCTCTAAGCAGAGTAAGTAGCCTATGACGGGATCCATTCCGCAGTCTCTTACCTGATATTATACTAAAATAAATATCTGACTTTGGCTCCGCCTCCTCTCTCTGAGCTGCACAACGCTTTTTCCTTGACTCGGGTCGCCTCTTTTCGCTTTTGCGCTTCATTCTCGCTTTTATGCATGCACTGCGAGCATCTCCAAATCGCGCAATAAGATCTCTTGTCTGCAGTGCGGTTGTCCTAGTTTTCGGTGCTTTATTTGATCCTCTCTTTTGCTCTTTAGCTACGGTGTCATCCAAAGCAGTTGTTCGTTCTCCCTCCGTTTTTCCTCTGGTGACGTCTGTGAACGGGGCCAGTTTCTGAATCCCACTTCTGTGACGTAAGAGGTTGCCTGACCCTCACTAGTGCTACACTTTGAAGTTGGGCTACTGTAAAGAAATAAGACATAACGGTTGGCATAGCCTAAATAAAATAGGCTGATACGTTATTACACTGTAATAACAATATTTTTTTGAGAAGGTTATTTAATGGGGTTTTAGAGAATGATGTAGAATGAATGTGTAGAGGACTTGATGTCTGATGGGGTGATGTGTAGCCTAAGCCTATTGGTCAACTGTTGAATTATGACAATTATGACTAAGATGCAGCAGTGAAAAAGTAAGTATTATTTATGTACATGATTATAAACAGACAATTAAGCATGCATCTCCAACATGGTGTCAAGCCTGGGTGGCTGACTGTTTTTTGTATTGAAAACAAAAAATGTACTTTTTTTTAGATTAAATGTTTTTCATCACGACACAAAAACAAAGCAAGTGGGCTACACGACAATGATCTTTGGCTTATCACTGAGGTCCAGGGTGTGTTGTACTCCGGCCAGCTGTAGCAACCAGTTGATGGGCATGTGGTCCAGCCGGTTCATATCCAAATGGGCAAAATGGACCTCAGAGCCTGCGCAGAATGACAGATTTACACACTAATAGACAGAGCAGTATCTTCACAACAGATGCCATTTTGGATACTGACCCAACAAAATTTTAGACCACTTGAAGAATGAAAAGTGATATACCACTGTGCATAAACCCTATGGAATATCCCAAGATGTGAATCACATGCACTAAGGTAGGCTATTTGTAAGCTATAGCTAATACTATCAACAACACTGCAATAGCACAATGCAGTTACCTGGGCCAATGATGATGGCTCCACCCTGCTGTCGAGGATCTCCCTGGAAGTCAAATATAGGGCTGGTCATGGCCCTCCACATGCTCTTCATATGGCCCACGAGCATACCTGACTTCACATGAGGGCTAGGGTGGGCTAGACAGACAGTTTTTTATGTTTAATTTCATTACAGCTTTTATGTAGAGTAGGCTATTGCTATTTCAGGTATACAACAAAAGCCTGAATGAATGTCTTACCTGATTCCACAGACATCTCTCCTCTCCTCATCCCCAGTCTTTTGTATATGCATCTCTCTGGGTCGACGTACATGTCATGTGGGTAGCCAGTCAGTGAGCAGAACGACTACATCACACAGAGAAAACACACATCAGACACGGCACAACAACACATCAAACAACAAATAACAAGCTTACAAGTATTATTGACATTGACATAATTGCAGAATGATACATTGAATATGCCTACCTCAATATGATGATGAGATGATTGTCCGATAACAACCAGTCTGAGACCAGCTTCCTACATTGAATATATGAAAAGATTCATCAAGTTAGACAACAAGTTATAGCCTATTTTGTAGCTTTGTCACATTTGTCACTAAAATCAAATAAAAGTTTATTGGTTACATTCACAGATGTGCAGATGTTAACGCAGGTGCAGCGAAATGCTTGTGTTTCTAGCTCCAACAGTGCAGTAATAGGCCTAATACCTAGCAATACAAAAACAATACGCACATAATCCAAAAAGTAAAAAGAAAGAAATTAAGAAATATCAGAACGTGCAATGTCAGAGTCCGGAATAGTGGGTAAACAGTATGTAATCATGAATTAAAGTGACTAGATTAAAATTATACTTTATCTAATGCTGCAAATGGTTTTCAATAAAGACAGTTACAGACTGAAAAAAGTAGCAGTTGGAAACGTTTCCCTATTAAAATTGAAAACGTCAAAGGAAAAACAGCCTAGATTAAGAAAAGACAACACTTCATCACTCACCTTCAGAACTTCCCCTGGTATTCTGCTCAAATCATCCACATATTCTTTGCAGGTGTGGCACAAGAAATTCTGTCGAAATACAGAGTTTGTTTATGAATTTGAAGCTTGTCTGCTGTTATTCATTTTAATAATAGTCTCCCCCTCTTTGAACAGTGAACACCTGTGCATGTCGTGTCCCCCAAATCTGTCTAGTCTGACTACGCCGAACAGTAGGCTAGCTAGGCTACTTTGCTGCCTGCGCAGCGCTGTCAGAAGCACGAAGTTGCTTTTTCAATTATTAGATCAATAGATAAGGTTTATAATTTGAAAACCTAGACCCAACGCCATAAACACTTCTGAATGTAGGCTATGTAGGTTAGTCTAAATGTTTCGTAAAGTTTAAAGTGAATAAACCGTAAAGTAGCCTAATATTTCCTACCCGTACAAAAATAACGACTGATTTCCTGTCTTGGTATAACTCTTTGAAGGGAGTTGAGACGCCATTTCGGTCATAAATCAAACAGTCCTCCACATCCTCAAGACGAACATTTACGGGTGGTCTCTTGATCTCTCGATGATTCTTCGTTATTTGTTGCGTTATGGGTGGATCTGTCGCCATCGCAGCAGTTCATGGTAGCTAAATATTTCCAAGGCCGCCCTGCCCATGCTATTTTGGGACTTACCGTTGAAGCGTTAGCTGGCTTCAGGTCAGGAGTAGGCTACTGAACAGCATTCACGCCCATTTTCGTGTGCAGTCTTGCCACAAAGGTCTCTTATTTGCCCATAGGCTAGACTTTCACCACACACATTCTGTAGCCCACTTTTAACAAAGCAGGCATATGGACCAATTTGGGCAACCTGAAAGGCTACAGGGATAGGCCTACCTGTGTGTGTGTGGGTGTGTGTGTAATTTCTGGCATATAGGAGGAGAGAGAAAACAGCTGTGATGGTGGTTTCATCCTATGACCATGGGTGCAAAGTCTAGGGGAGATTCTCATTTGGGCTAGTCTGGGTGACACCAGCAGCTCTCGAAGTGGGTTAGGGTTAGGACTAGGTAATGTTAGATCCCTCACTTCGAAGGCAGTCATAGTCAATGAACTAATCACTGATCATAAACTTGATGTGATTGGACTGACAGAAACGTGGCTTAAGCCTGATGAATTTACTGTGTTAAATGAAGCCTCTCCTCCTGGTTACACTAGTGACCATATCTCCCGAGCATCCCGCAAAGGCGGAGGTGTTGCTAACATTTATGACAACAAATTTCAATTTATGAGAAATAATAAATACAGTGTTTTCATCTTTTGAGGTTCTTGTCATGAAATCTATGCAGCCTACTCAATCACTTTTTATAGCTACTGTTTACATGCTTCCTGGGCTGTAAACGGCGTTCCTCACTGAGTTCCCTGAATTCCTGTCGGACCTCATAGTCATGGCAGATAATATAAAAAATGTTGGTGACTTCAATATTCACACAGACCCATTCCAAAAGGCTTTCGGAGCCATCATCGCCTACTTTTTTCATGCGTCAGGTAATTAATCCGCATTATATGGTTGGATGTAAACCTGGTTACTGTTGGCTTGAAGTGAATGGGATCTCTATGCAGGTCAGTGGTTTAGCAGACACTCTTATCCAAAGCAATTAGGGTTGCTCAAGGGCACATCAACAGATTTCTCACCTAGTCGGTTCGGGGATTAGAACCAGCGACCTTTCGAGTAGCGGCACAACGCTCTTAACCACTAAGCTACCTGCCGCCCTACAGTGGAATGTATTGGAACTTGACTTGTTGTAACCAGAGTGACAGCTCGGTCTGCTCTTGTGCCTTGATGCTGTTGATTTCTTACTTACATTTGAAAGGCAATCATTTTGGTTTAGCAACCTTCGTAACAGTCTTTGGTAACACTTTTTCTAACGTTTTTTATACCTGTGTGGCACTGCAGACTAATTAGCCTACACTAGTAACAACATTTGTGGTAATATGTTCAATTTTAATTAGAATAATGGTTTCTTTTAGATAACTTTTTAGCTGTTTTAGATCTCTTCCACACAAGACATAAATATATCATCTGTACAGTTTAATATAAAGTGTCATGTTAAATTCTGTTAATTTATGTCCTTCTCACTTTCCCTACCCAAAGTCTCATCTATATGGGCCATCTTCTCTCGAAAAATGTTACCGCCTGAAGAAGAGGACATGCAAGCTGCACTACAAGAAGAAGAAGAAGAAGAAGAAGAAGAAGAGGAACTGCTTCCTGCAAGGGCCGTGCACGCTCTGCTTCATCGTCCACAGCAACAGTGGGGGCCACGACGACGACCAGTTAGAGACCGGGATCAACGGTGGCAGCGGAAAAGGAGGACATTGTCATAGTAACACCAGTGATACTGTAAGCGGAGGAATCAGAAGTGTTGGAATTGGAGCGGCAGCCTCCTGAAAACTCGCCGGGCGATACGCTGCTCTCACTTCCCCTGAGGACTATGCCAAGTTCCTGCTGTCTCCACCGGAACTAGCTATCTGGGAGGACCAGGGGAGGAGTCTACTGTCGGCCGTGCCAGCTAAGTTGATCCCACCACCAGCGCTGTTCCGGAGCGCAGGGGTTCCAGTGCCCATAGCTGTAGCTGTGGCCGTTTCTGTGCCTAGTGGTGCCAGTGACTACGCTGAGATGGTGAGAAACTAAAAATGTTTTATTTCTAGTGCTGGTAAATTAGTTAATTGTTGAATTATGTCATTGATTGGCCAGAGAGTCCATTCACTTGATGTCACATTTTTAAATCAGTCCCTGATTAGAGAGGGACTGACACTGTCTGAACAGTTTGCTCCTGTACCATAATATGTCCTGGTGTCTCTTCTGATGTCATCCGTCTAATCCCTCTTCATGTGGTTCTCGGTGGTCTGTGTCTGATCCTTCTTTCTCTCCTAGGTGTGTAAGAGGAAGTGTGCGGCGGTGCAGAGGTGCACCCCCTTTAAGCAGCCGCGATGTGCCTTCCCCATCCCTGAGGGAGGGCTGGAGAATGGAGGAGGAGGTGGGGATGCCTCCTCTAACACTGGGACTGGCCACTGCCACCTCCTCTTCTGTCCCCTCCCCTCCTCCTCTTCCTCCTCATCCTCCTCCTCGACTACCGAGGGCTGCTGTGGGATGGCTCTCCATGGCGATTCGCTGCCCCAGAGTTCTGACTCCTCAACCTTCTGTCCGTATTACCGCAACGACTGCCAGGGGAGGGGCTGCGACCTGATTGACACATCCAGCATCAACCGCCTCTCCTCCTCCATTCTGGTAGGAGGTCACTATTAGGGTACAGTTTCTTTTTGGAGGCCTGATTGGATGCTTTCAAAATCCTTTTAGTCCAAAAACACAATTGAAATCGGTTGGATGTGGGTGGATGCACAACCTGTAACTGTTATTGTGTGTTCTGTTCCTCTCAGGTGTTCTCCCACCTGTTGGTGAAGGAACGCTGTCTGTGTGCCTGGGTGGTCTGTAAGTACCGGCGGGACCTCTGCTTAGACTTCCAGTTCTGGAAGGAAATCGATCTCAGTGGCCTACAACGAGTGAGTAGAACATTTTGAGAATTTTTTTAAGGAACATTTCATTTTCAAGAGAATGTTTTTAAACCTATTTTGTTATTTTGTAATGTTAATGTATTTTATAAAAAGTGTATTATTTGACTATAAGGACCACTTTCTCATCAAACCTTACCTTGAGCCCTAATCTCTGTCTTTCTCACTCACTCTCTCTCTCTCTCTCTCTCTCTCTCTCTCTCTCTCTCTCTCTCTCTCTCTCTCTCTCTCTCTCTCTCTCTCAGGTAAATGATGACCTCCTGGTGAAGGTAGCGTCTTGGAGGCAGAATGTGACGGAGTTGAACATCTCAGACTATCGTGGCGTGCAGGACCACGGTGTGTGTTCCCTGGCAACCCACTGCCATGGCCTCCAGAGGTACACAGCCAACCGCTGTAAACAGCTGAGTGATCTGTCTCTCAGCACCCTGGCCTCACACTGACCTCTGCTGGCCAAGGTCCATGTGGGCAACCAGGACAAACTGACGGACGAAGCACTCAAAAAGGTTCTGTCTCTCTCTCTCTCTCTCTCTCTCTCTCTCTCTCTCTCTCTCTCTCTCTCTCTCTCTCTCTCTCTCTCCCTTCTTTCCTCTCTCTCGCTCTCTCGCGCTCTCTCTCTCTCCCTTCTTTCCTCTCTCTCGCTCTCCACTCAATGCATTTATAACAAGTTTTTCTCTCCCTCCTCCCCTACCTTTCTCGTGTCACTAGTTGGGAGAGCACTGTTCAGAGCTGAAGGATATCCACCTGGGCCAGTGCTACAGTATAACTGATGAGGGGATGGTGTCTCTGGCCAAGGGATGTCCCAAGCTGCAGATAATCTACATGCAGGAGAACAAACTGGTACGTACCCTACCCAGTACTTAAGCTACATCACAGTGTTCAGTTGACACCAGTTGGTCTGCAGAACTAGGCAGGGGGCCCACCCTGTCTCTGTAGTGGTAGGGGAAACGTTGCCTTCACGTTTAAATTCTAACCCATGAAAGGGGCAGGGAAGGGAAACGTTCTGCATGGTCCCGAAGGCTACTAGAGAACCGTTGAGTGGTGTCTCCGTGATGTGTAGTGTGTAACAACTTCATTGGGGATGTGTGTTTACTGTGTGTGGGTTGGTGGGGTATTTTTGCTGTTGGCATCGAGGGATCATGGTACGTCTGTTTCAAATGAAATGCAAATCTCAAACTCAAAACAAAATCAATTGAAAACATCCAAAGAGGCACAAGCTAAGGGAGAGCACTGCATGTATTTTGGATGACATGTATCTGTGTATGATTGTTGCTGTGTGTTTGGGCTGGTGGTTTCAGGGTGTTTTGGGGACAGTCCCTGTTAGAGTGCAGTGTGATGATGGGGGTCTGCATAAACACAACAAGTAAAGATGAATATTCAACACCCTGGGGTTGTGTGCCAGGCCAGCTGACAATGTAGGCTTTATTATTAATACCCCCCGGATCCACTACTGTGATTTTACATTCCTCCCCTAGTACACACACACACACACACACACACACACACACACACACACACACACACACACACACACACACACACACACACACACACACACACACATTCACTGTGTGATCTCTGAGCTAGCTTCATGTGTTAGCTGGTTGTGTTGTGGTGGAGTCTTGTTTAGTTAGACACCATTACTCTGCAGGTGTAGAGGTTGTGTTCATGTTCTGCAGGGGATTTGGACATCCTGACTATCTGAATCTCTGGCTCTGAAAGCTTGACATTTTAAGTGTACAGTCGTGGTCAAAAGTTTAGAGAATGACACAAGTATTGGTCTTCACAAAGTTTGCTGCTTCATTGTTTTTAGATATTTTTGTCAGATGTTACTATGGTATACTGAAGTATAATTACAAGCATTCCATAAGTGTCAAAGGCTTTTATTGACAATTACATTACAGTTTTTTACAATCACTTTGGCACTAATTTCAGAACCTTGACGTCATTTTTCAAAACTCTAGACACAAAACTCAAAACGGTCATCACTTGTAACACAGGCTGTCCAATGTTCAAAACATTGCATTGTGCGTTCATATCTTTCAAGAAATGTTGCACTTGCACAATCATTGGTTCAAAAAACTAATTTATTGTGAAATACCAATGAAACTTTAATTTAGATCACCCACACACAAGCAACCGATAGTTTCACTGTGTCATTGTTCGTACAATCATTAAATATTGTAGTACAAAATAGGTGATACATGTTTCATTATGGTACTACATGTAAATACATCCCTGTAAAAGTACTGCAGTAGTAGAGAGAATACTACAGACACAGTGGAATCATTGAACAAAATCTGAAATATATTGATGAAAAACAATACAGTACTGTAAAACATAAAATGCAGTGTTCCTCAACTTGCTTGCTTGTACTGTAAAAAGCAAAACATAGGAGTGATTACTGTACTTCTACATTTTCATCAACTCTGTCTTGTGGATTTGGCCACAGGTGATCATCTACATCACAATGGATGTTTTCATTAGCCAAACATCTTGGAAAAAACCTTCGGGCATGGCGAATCCAGGCCTGACACTGGTCTGCCGTGATGTCATTGCATGCGTCATCCATGGCTTGGAGATGAGTGACTTGTTCATGAGGGCGCCTATCATAAACCTTCCATCTCCATGTGGAGAAGAATTCCTCAATCGGGTTATTGAGGCCACGGTTGACCTTCTGAGGTTTGGTTGTATCATTGTAGCCGCCTCAGTCATTGTCATGCCATGATTTATGACATGGTCTACAACTATTGCTCGGATTTCTTTGGGCACTCTTTGCTGTTGCTGCCGCTGTCTTGGTCCGTGGCTTTGTCCTCTACCACGTTCCCCCACATCTCTCAAACGAGGCCCACGACCACCTCTCAGAAGGGGTGCTTGTCCCCTGCCATTCCTTTGACCAACACGTCTTCCTCGTCTTCCTCCCACCACTGCTTGACCTCTATTGTGACCTGGATCACCTGCCGGCTCCATGTTACAGTACGTATCGCTATGTTGTTGCAAGTGGATCCCAATCAATTCTTTATATACTCATTCCATAATGTGAACTCAATCATCAGTAACGAGTTGGCAGAATTGGACAAGCAATTACAAGGGCCTGCATCCATACAGTGCAGTACTGTCAATACTGTAAATAGTCTGAAAAGGTGGTACATGGGACCATAGAAACGGTGTCTGATAAAGAATGATGATGAAATATTACATCCATAGATAATGTAGTCTAATTGGTTCATGCTCCACGCTAATTGGTGACAATGAATCTCGTTATCTTGAAACTTTCATGATCTAAACATGGAATATTGTTTGTCTGTTTCCATGCAACTATGCATTAAGAGTAATGCAACAGTTACTTATCATTTTGAGCAGTTGTATCAATTGATAGTTGGATAATTGTAATGAAATGAATAGACACTCATCTGAAATGTAATTTGTGAATTGCCTTTTGAAATAGTAGTACTTTGATGTTAAGTTGTGTCATATTGAACAGGTGATTTTTGTTAAATGAACAAATTATCTTAGTTTTATGTGTATAAGTATCCAAGCAACTGAAAAAAGTGTTAGAGTTTTGAAAAATGTGCATTTTGATCATTGGTTGTGAGTTTTGTGTCTAGAGTTTTGAAAAATGACGTCAAGGTTCTGAAATTAGTGCCAAAGTGATTGTTAAAAAACTGTACGTTTATGCAAAGAGTCAATATTTGCAGTGCTGACCCTTCTTTTTCAAGACCTCTGCAATCCGCCCTGGCATGCTGTCAATTAACTTCTGGGCCACATCCTGACTGATGGCAGCCCATTCTTGCATAATCAATGCTTGGAGTTTGTTAGAATTTGTGGGTTTTTGTTTGTCCACCCGCCTCTTGAGGATTGACCACAAGTTCTCAATGGGATTAAGGTCTGGGAAGTTTCCTGGACAATTTCGATGTTTTGTTCCCTGAGCCACTTAGTTATCACTTTTGCCTTATGGCAAGGTGCTCCATCATGCTGGAAAAGGCATTGTTCGTCACCAAACTGTTCTTGGATGGTTGGGAGAAGTTGCTCTCGGAGGATGTGTTGGTACCATTCTTTATTCATGGCTGTGTTAGGCTAAATTGTGAGTGAGCCCACTCCCTTGGCTGAGAAGCAACCCCACACATGAATGGTCTCAGGATGCTTTACTGTTGGCATGACACAGGACTGATGGTAGCGCTCACCTTGTCTTCTCCGGACAAGCTTTTTTCCGGATGCCCCAAACAATCGGAAAGGGGATTCATCAGAGAAAATGACTTTACCCCAGTCCTCAGCAGTCCAATCCCTGTAACTTTTGCAGAATATCAGTCTGTCCCTGATGTTTTTCCTGGAGAGAAGTGGCTTCCTCGCTGCCCTTCTTGATACCAGGCCATACTCCAAAAGTCTTTGCCTCACTGTGCGTGCAGATGCACTCACACCTACCTGCTGCCATTCCTGAGCAAGCTCTGCACTGGTGGTGCCCCGATCCCGCAGCTGAATCAACTTTAGGAGACGGTCCTGGCACTTGCTGGACTTTCTTGGGCGCCCTGAAGCCTTCTTCACAACAATTGAACCTCTCTCCTTGAAGTTCTTGATGATCCGATAAATGGTTGATTTAGGTGCAATCTTACTAGCAGCAATATCCTTGCCTGTGAAGCCCTTTTTGTGCAAAGCAATGATGATGGCACGTGTTTCCTTGCAGGTAACCATGGTTTCCTTGCAGGTAACCACTCCCGAGTGGCGCAGTGGTCTAAGGCACTGCATCGCAGTGCTAGCTGTGCCACTAGAGATCCTGGTTCGAATCCAGGCTCTGTTGTAGCAGGCCGTGACCGGGAGACCCATGGGGCGGCGCACAATTGGCCCAGCGTCGTCCAGGGTAGGGGAGGGAATGGCCGGCAGGGATGTAGCTCAGTTGGTAGAGCATGGCGTTTGCAACGCCAGGGTTGTGTGTTCGATTCCCACGGGGGGCCAGTATGAAAAATTAAATAATGTATGCACTCGCTGTAAGTCGCTCTGGATAAGAGCGTCTGCTAAATGACTAAAAAATGTTTTTTTTAAACAAGTAAACATTTTAACAGAGGAATAACAATGATTTCAAGTGCCACCCTCCTTTTAAAGCTTCCAGTCTGTTATTCTACCTCAATCAGCATGACAGAGTGATCTCCAGCATTGTCCTCGTCAACACTCTCACCTGTGTTAACGAGAGAATCACTGACATGATGTCAGCTGGTCCTTTTGTGGCAGGGCTGAACTGCAGTGGAAATGTTTTTTTGGGATTAAGTTCATTTTCATGGCAAAGAGGGACTTTGCAATTAATTGCAATTCATCTAATCACTCTTCATAACATTCTGGAGTATATGCAAATTGCCGTCATAAAATCTGAGGCAGCAGACTTTGTGAAAATTAATATTTGTGTCATTCTCAAAACTTTTGACCACGACTGTATGTCCACTTCTTACCCAAAGTAGGCTATCAAAATACTAGAATACTTACTGACTGGAACACTTGAGGACTGTTTATTGTATAGCCTACCCAGTTTTACATGTTGTCTCGGCACTCGGCAGTAATGCACTCAGTTCTCAGTGTAATTTTTGAATGATCCCTGACAGTCTCTCCCCTCCACCACTGGAGGTCAGTGGTCCTCCACTACTGAACGTGGCCAGTCAACAGGTCCTATGCAATGAGAGGCCATAGCTTGATACATGGGTCAGATAAAAAAGTGTATTCTTTTAACTAAGCCACAGAGGCCGGCTAGAATCCTCTACATTTGGCACTTCCATGAAAAGCTTCCCTGTATATGTACTGTATGTATTGAGATGTGCAATTGACTTCTGTTTCCAAGTCTATCTGGGTTTAGTAGCATTGCGTCTTTAATCCTGCCTCATATTTCTCTCACCTAATGCATTTGTCTTCCTTTCCTCTAAATATTATGCTCTTGATTAATTAGTTCCACTTAAAGCTGGTTAACAATAGCTCAGTCTGTTAAAATCTCATTCATCACCTTAATAGGTAGGAAAATAGGGATTATAGTGAAGTGAGATATTAATTTTGGCGCTAATAATTTTTCAACGCTGCGGTATCAATTTCAGACAGCCATTTTTCAGACGTTAGATTGCTGGGAAGTTTTCTGGCGTCCTCTTCATATTGTGCCAGAGAGAAATGGGTTGTGAATATTTTTAGGAGTTGTTATGTCTAGCCGCTCTCATTGCGTTGGCCTGATATTGTCGTTAAGTTGGCCTGCTATTAAGAAGTCCAGGGGAAACTTCCCTCTCTCCTCTCCGTAGAGGACTCTCATTATCTCATTTCTCTCCCCAACTGTTTTGAGAAATTAAATGTAATAGCTCTATATCTTTTCTAATTAGAAATGTAGGACCAGATTAAAGCATTGATTTCATCTCGTTAAAAAGGAAAGTGGGCAAAGTGAATGATTTACATTCGTCTTATAGGGAGAAGTGTCCTTATCTCTGGATTAGGGTTAGGCTGCTGGTTTTCATGTTTTCTGCTGTGTTTAGCTAGAAAACTGGAATGAAGTATTTACATTTACAGACTTTTGTGTGGGCTGAGGATAAACATATTTTGACTAGCCTGTCCTATGTGCCCTAAGGAATCTAGCCTATGAAGTGTTTTGATGACAGAATTTAGTTGGCTATGAGTTAGGGATGGGCATTTTACATTTTATGACTGTTAGAGTACTTGCATGATTTTTTTTTAGAGTACTCCAAAAAAAGAAAGCAATTTTTAGAACACAAGGCCCGCACTGGGAAAAAATATGTGCGCATTTATCTATATGCCAACAGTGCGCAACAATGCCTAATTTATCATAACCGTTACAGATAACGAATCCTAATTGCTAAATTGCATTCGGAAATTATTCAGACCCCTTCACTTTTTCCACTTTTTGTTACGTTACAGCCTTATTCTAAAATGGATTAAATACTTTTTTCTGCACACCACACCCCATAATGACAAAGCGAAAACAGGTTTTTAGAAATTTTCGCAAATGTATTACAAATAAAATACAGATACCTTATATACAGTTGAAGTCAGACATTTACATACACTTAGGTTGGTGTCATTAAAACTCGCTTTTCAACCACTCCACAAATTTCTTGTTAACAAACTATCGTTTTGGCAAGTCGGTTAGGACATCTACTTCGTGCATGACACATGTAATTTTTCAAACAATTGTTTACAGACGGATTATTTCACTTATAATTCACTGTATCACAATTCCAGTGGGTCAGAAGTTTACATACACTAAGTTGACTGTGCCTTTAAACAGCTTAGAAAATTCAAGAATATTATGTCATGACTTTAGAAGCTTCTGATAGGCTAATTGACATAATTTGAGTCAATTGGAGGTGTACCTGTGGATGTATTTCAAGGCCTACCTTCAAACTCAGTGCCTCTTTGCTTGACATCATGGGAAAATCTAAAGAAATCAGCCAAGACCTCAGAAAAAAAGTTGTAGACCTCCACAAGTCTGGTTCATCCTTGGGAGCAATTTCGAAACGCCTGAAGGTACCACGTTCATCTGTACAAACAATAGTACGCAAGTATAAACACCATGGGACCACGCAGCCGTCATACAGCTCAGGAAGGAGACGCGTTTTGGCAATGTGCAAATCAATCCCAGAACAGTAAAACGAGTCATATATCAACATAACCTGAAAGGCGCTCAGCAAGGAAGAAGCCACTGCTCCAAAACCGCCATAAAAAAGCCAGACTACAGTTTGCAACTGCACATGGGGACAAAGATCTTACTTTTTAGAGAAATGTCCTCTGGTCTGATGAAACAAAAATAGAACTGTTTGGCCATAATGACCATCGTTATGTTTGGAGGAAAAAGGGAGATGCTTGCAAGCCAAAGAACACCATCCCAACCGTGAAGCACGGGGTGGCAGCATCATGCTGTGTTGGTGGTTTGCTGCAGGAGGCACTGGTGCACTTCACAAAATAGATGGCATCATGAGGAAGGAAGATTATCTGGATATATTGAAGCAACATCTCAAGACATCAGTCAGGAAGTTAAAGCTTGGTCACAAATGGGTCTTCCAAATGGACAATGACCCCAAGCATACTTCCAAAGTTGTGGCAAAATGGCTTAAGGACAACAAAGTCAAGGTATTGGAGTGGCCATCACAAAGCCCTGACCTCAATCCTATAGAAAATGTGTGGGCAGAACTGAAAAAGCATGTGCAAGGAGGTCTACAAACCTGACTCAGTTACACCAGCTCTGTCAGGAGGAATGGGACAAAATTCACCCAATGTTATTGTGGGAAGCTTGTGGAAGGCTACCCAAAACATTTGAACCAAGTTAAACAATTTAAAAGCAATGCTACCAAATACTAATTGAGTGTATGTAAACTTCTGACCCACTGGGAATGTGATGAAAGAAATAAAAGCTGAAATAAATCATTCTCTCTACTATATTCTGACATTTCACATTCTTAAAATACAGTGGTGATCCTAACTGACCTATGACAGGGAATGAAAAACTGAGTTTAGATGTATTTGGCTAAGGTGTATGTAAACTTCCGATTTCAACTGTACATAAGTATTCAGACCCTTTGCTATGAGACTCAAAATTGAGCTCCAGTGCATCCTGTTTCCATTGATCATCCTTGAGATGTTTCTACAACTTTATTGGAGTCCACCTGTGGTAAATTCAATTGATTGGACATGATTTGGAAAGGCACAACTGTCTATATAAGGTCAGAGTTGACAGTGCATGTCAGAGCAAAAACCAGGCCATGAGGTCAAAGGAATTGTCCGTAGAGCTCTGAGACAGGATTGTGTCGAGGCACAGATCTGGGGAAAGGTACCAACAAAGTTCTGCAGCATTTAAGGTCCCCAAGAACACCGTGGCCTCCATCATTCTTAAATGGAAGACGTTTGGAACCACCAAGACTCTTCCTAGAGCTTTGGCCTGAATGCCAAGCATCATGTCTAGAGGAAACCTGGCACCATCCCTACGGTGAAGCATGGTGTTGGCAGCATCATGCTCTGGGGATGTTTGTCAGCGGCAGGGACTGGGAGACTAGTCTGAACGGAGCAAAGTACAGGGAGATCCTGGATGAAAATCTGCTCCAGAGCACTCAGGAACTCAGACTGGGGCAAAGGTTCACCTTCCAACACGACCCTATGCACACAGCCAAGACAATGCAGGAGTAGCTTGGGGACAAGTCTCTGAATGTCCTTGAGTGGCCCAGCCAGAGCCCGGACTTGAACCCGATCAAACATCTCTAGAGAGACCTGAAAATAGCTGTGCAACGACGCACCCCATCCAACCTGACAGAGCTTGAGAGGATCTGTAGAGAAGAATGGGAGAAACTCCGCAAATACAGGTGTGCCAAGCTTGTAGCGTCATACCCAAGAACACTCAATGCTGTAATCACTGCCAAAGGTACTTCAACAAAGTACTGAGTAAAGGGTCTGAATACTTATGTAAATGTGATATTTCAGTTTTTTGTATTTTATGCATTTGCCAAAAATGTCAAAAAACCTGTTTTTGCTTTATCATTATGGGGTATTGTGTGTAGATTGATGAGGGGGAAAAAACTATTTAATCCATTTTAGAATAAGGCTGTAACGTAACAACTTACCCAATGCAGTGAATAAAAAAACAAGTGCCATTGATATTGATTTATTGAAACCGTAATATCAACTGGTTATATTATATCGTGGAACACAACCTTCAAAAAGGCAGTAACCTCAGCAGTTGCGCTTGCTTGTAGAAGCCTATGGCTGTGCAATAGTGTACAGTTTGTCCTCTGTCCTGTGGGGTTAGGAGGCCAAGCACAGAGGCCAGGCACCAGCAGGTCTACTCTGACATCTGAAGCATTTACAAAACATCTTTATCACAACGTCCCCAATTCACTCACTGACAGATCATCCAATTCTCAAACTCCTTTTCAATAGATGTCTTTGGCTCTACCATCTCTCTCGCTCCCTCTCTCTCATGCCTCCCTTTCCCCATCTCTTTTCTTGCCTCCACTCTCTTCTCTTTTCCCTAATGTAATGTAACAGGATCCTGTCTCTGTCTCTTTCAGTCAATGAGGAATGGAGATGATCCCTCACTCACTCTGTTCTTCCTTCATTTTCCTCCTCCTCCTCCTCCTCCTCCCATCTTTCTGGCTTCCTTCTAATTGAATAATTTAAAAGCTGGAGGACGTTTCTGTGCAGTCTCTCTCTCTCTCTCATACTCTGCTGGTGGTTTCTCTCTTCTTTGACTCAATGCTTCCTGCTCTCATCAGAACATGCAGTATCTAGTCTGGAAGTGTTTAACTTTAATATTTTTATGCCGTGAGTCTGCCACAATAAGCTGATAAAAACAGACAGTTTCTGGCTAGCCTATTCTATGGGTGTTGTCAGAAGGACTATTCTTCAGTGTGTATAAACATAGGTTAGACGTTGAGGAATAATGACTTTTGAGCTCCAGTGATTTCTGAGTTCCTCAGGTGAAGCTCTGATGGTTGGGTCTCTTATAGCTTTTTCTCTCACTATTTCTCTCTCTCTCTTTCCCGCACCCACGCTCTCTTTTTCTCTCTCTTCTCCCTGACGGCTCTCTGTGTCCACACAGTACAAGGTGAACTGGCTGGTTTAAACTGGCTTAACGTTTCTCTCTGCTATGCTGCGTGTGGTTAGAAGAATAGAGAAGTCTTTGTGTGCTCATATTTGACCTTGTTCATAGTTAGACAGAATCTGTGTCAGAGTTGTAGGGATTGTTTGTCTGTTTTCAGACCTTGGTTTGAGCTCAAGTTGATTTGCCATATTCTGTTCTCTCTCTGTCTGCCTCGGAGGATAAAGACTTACAGGATACCAAACTCCTCCTCATCATCACATTGATGTGTCCTAGGAGAGAGACGGCCTGGAAGTTGAGCTGAGAGTTTTGGAAATTCAATACAGACAAAGTATTGTGTACGCCTATCTGCTCAACAGATCACACCCATTCTTCTGCATGAATAATCCTATTCCATTAGTCCTTTAAAATTAAACACGAGTATCGCAATTTTAGGAACATTTTGCCAAATAGGCACTTTTCTCTCTCTTTTAATTTTCCTCCCGCCTCTCCTTTCCTGGTGGAATCAAAGCACATTTGTTTTAATTTTCCACTGAGGTGATAGTATATGAACTGTCTGTCTGACTTCCTTCTGGGAACACGTGTCTGTCTGTAATACACACACACACACACACACACACACACACACACACACACACACACACACACACACACACACACACACACACACACACACACAGACACACACACAGACACACACACACGGTTCTGTTTAAACACAGTTTTAATTAGCTTAAATGTGTGTAAATGGAATTGGAGATGACCTTCAATAGATTACCATGTGCACTCAATTTAGCTGTAATTAGTCGGATATGTGAATTTTTGTATGTTTCCTCTCCTTTTTCCCTGAGACCATCTTGGTTAATCCTCCCAGAGGGTGGCGTGTGACGGCTGTATTTGTGTGAACATCCCTCAGAACACGGACCACGGAACACTCTGGGTGATGAGGTGTCACATTGAATGGCATCTGTTTAGCCATTGGTCAGTCACAGATACCCTATCTCCCTCCCTGATAGGCCGACAGCTTGTGAACATTACAGTTAAAACCAGAGAAGTGGTCCAATAACGGTCCAATGCGGTGAGTGATGTGTATTTATGCTGGCCAGAACAAAGGCAGAACAGGGGAACAGGTAATGAAATGCTGTCAGTTATAGGAGATCTATTCTGACACGACACCCAACTGGTTAGTTTAAACACAGGGAGACACATGGGAAAGGCTGGACAAAATGTACACTTTCTTGGTAAATTTGTCCCGGGAAGTATTTTGGAACGATGATAGATGAGTAGGACCGACCCGCGGACTGGAGGAACGCTCTCCACAGCCAGAGAACATCCCTGTGACAGTCTCCTGTCTGTGTGACATGGAGGATGCGTCTACTTTGACTTGACCATGTTGTTGGGATGACGTGACATTACTCACTACTGGACATTACTTACAAAGGACAGGAACTGACCTGTTGGATGTGGGTTCACAATGGGTGGGGTCTTTTACCGCGTGAATGGCAGAGAGTTCACCATCGGCCCAGCTTGTGTTGTGACCCTGCCTTTCAGGTTGAAATGACACCAAATCATGTTGACATGATCAACATTATTGAGAGCAGATGTCATCCATTCCAGACTAATCATAACAGAAGCCTCATCCTATATAGTATGTTCTCTCTCTCTCTCTCTCTCTCTCTCTCTCTCTCTCTCTCTCTCTCTCTCTCTCTCTCTCTCTCTCTCTCTCTCTCTCTCTCTCTCTCTCTCTCTGTCACGCTCTGGCTCCGGGACTGTGTATTTTGAGCCAGGGTGTGTTCATTTGGTTGTGTTGTATTTGGTTGTGTTTCATTGTTTGGTCGTGTGACTCCCAATCAGTGGTAACGAGTGTCAGCTGTCGGCTCGTTATCTCTGATTGGGAGCCATATTTAAACTGTCAGTGTTCACCTTAGTGTTGTGGGTTTTTGTTCCTGTACAGTCATTGTCACTGTGGACTTCACGTATCGTCATTTGTTTTGTGGTTTTCGTGTTTAGGCTTTAATTAATAAAGTCATGTTCACCTTCAACGCTGCGCATTGGTCCTCCTCATTAGACGATCGTGACAGAAAAACCCACCAAGATGGGACCAAGCAGCGTGTCCAGGAGCCATCGCCAGGGAGATCCCTCACAGATCTCCTTCGCCTCCTGGACTGGGTCAAGCCGAGTGAGGAAGAGAAGGGCTTGACATTATGGCAGAAGGGCGAGAGGCTGGCGAGGGACATGGAGACCTGGTCCACGGGTAGGAGAGACGCCCCGAAATTTTTTAGGGGGGGGCTCACGACGTCGGACCAGCAGGAGGCCGCGATAGAGCGGCCCAGTGGGTTGCCGGAGAAGGCCGCCGGGTTACGGGGGCCACTGGTCGAAGAGGGGATGGAGGAAGTAGAGGCACGGCGAGAGGTACTGGCGTGTGTTGCCAGTCCGGTCCGGCCCGTTCCAGATCCCGGTGTAGGACCAGTGGTGTGTGTCCCCAGTACAGTCCGGCCCATCCAAGCTTCCCGCACCAAGCCAGTGGTGTGCGTCGTCAGCCCGGCTCTGCCCGTGCCTGCTCTCCGCATCAAGCCTGTGGTGCGTCTCGTCAGCCCGGCTCTGCCCGTTCCTGCTCTCCGCACCAGGTCTGTGGTGCACGTCGCCAGCCCAGTCCGGCCCATTCCTGCTACTCGCAACAAGCCAAGGGTGCGAGTCGTCAGCCGGATTCAGCCCATTCCTGCTACTCGCACCAAGCCAAGGGTGCGAGTCGTCAGCCGGATTCAGCCCATTCCTGCTACTCGCACCAAGCCAAGGGTGCGAGTCGTCAGCCGGATTCAGCCCATTCCTGCTACTCGCACCAAGCCAAGGGTGCGAGTCGTCAGCCGGATTCAGCCCATTCCTGCTACTCGCACCAAGCCAGGGATGCGAGTCTTCAGCCTGGTGAGGCCTGTTCCGGCTCCACGCACCATGCAAAGGGTGCGTATCGTCTGCCAGGTCCGGTCCAGTCCTGCCTCACGCGCCAAGCCAGGGGTGCGTGTCGGCAGTCCTGATCCAGCTAACTGGGTCAGATCGGACTGGGGACACTGCGGGGGGATTGTAGTAGGGTGGTGGTCAAGCCCGGAGCCGGAGCCGCCTCCGAGGAGCAATACCCACCCAGCCCTTCCCTATTTGGGGTGTAGGCGCGGTCGGAGTCCGCGCCTTTAGGGGGGGGGTACTGTCACGCTCTGGCTCCGGGACTGTGTATTTTGAGCCAGGGTGTGTTCATTTGGTTGTGTTGTATTTGGTTGTGTTTCATTGGTTGGTCGTGTGACTCCCAATCAGTGGTAACGAGTGTCAGCTGTCGGCTCGTTATCTCTGATTGGGAGCCATATTTAAACTGTCAGTGTTCACCTTAGTGTTGTGGGTTTTTGTTCCTGTACAGTCATTGTCACTGTGGACTTCACGTATCGTCATTTGTTTTGTGGTTTTCGTGTTTAGGCTTTAATTAATAAAGTCATGTTCGCTCAACGCGCTGCGCTTTGGTCTCCCTCATTAGACGATCGTGACACTCTCTCTCTCTCTCTCTCTCTCTCTCTCTCTCTCTCTCTCTCTCTCTATCCCCCCCCCCCCCCTTCCCCTCTCTGTGATTGTCTATATAATTGAGGTAACCACCAGTTAGATCTGCTGTGTTTCTGAGCTGACGGGATGCTGGTCCCTGTAATGATGACCATCTGTATCTCCTAACACAGGGGAGCAGGCTGTCAGATGCCCCCCACTCCCCAGGGGATCCAGTTGAAAATGGCCACTATTTCCCCCCTTTCCCTCACCTCCCAGACTCCCACATCCCTTATTTTCTCCCCTTGCTCCCCCTTTCCTTCCCACCCTCTTTCATATACCTTACACTTCTTCCTCTCCTCTCTCCCTGTCTCTCATTCACCTCAATTTATTACCCCCTCTCACACTCTCTTACATCTCATTAACCCCCTCTCTCTCACCTCTCTTGCTTTCACTCCCTGCTGTTTCTCTCCCCGTTCATTCTTCCACTCTCTCTCCCCTCTGTGTGTTTGTGTACTCTCATTTCCTCTCTCTCTCTCCCCTCTGTGTGTTTGTGTACTCTCATTTCTCTCGCTCTCTCCTGTAGTCTTTGAAGTCTAGCTATCGATCCCTCAGAAAACATGTGAAAGCTGTTTCATGTGGTTAGGAGTGAGGACCCTGTGTTGGGGTCATCCAGTTGATCATATCTCTGGTTCACAAGTCATCAGGTCTATTAATGAGAGCTGCTGTGTTTCCTTTGACGGCCTGGCTGGCGGACTGGACCTAGACACACTGCTATCAATATTGAGAAACAAGAGAGGAAAGAAGAAATGGAGAGACGCGAGCGATGAGTTTTGTAAATGTCAGGACTGGCCTCTAGATATGAGTGTCTGTGAAGTGAACTGTCCCTTTGAGCTGTTCAGGGAATTACACGGTGACAGTCCCTGTCGGACAAAGAGCCTGGTTAGAAGAAAGGACTGTGGTTTAAAAAGGTTCCTCTGGCGACAGGAAATAATGTGTGTGTGTGTGTGAGAGGTTGTTCAGGTTAAGGCTTGGTGTTTGTTATATGGCTGGTAGGGACGGCCATTTGAAATGATAATATTGCTACACTTCCCGTCCTCGTCTACAACTCCATTCCAGGCATTGTCAGAGAAAGGCCCTAAAAATTGTCAAAGACTCCAGCCACCCAAGTCACAGTCTGTTCTCTCTGCTACCGCACGGCAAGCGGTACCGGAGCGCCAGGTCTGGGACCAAAAGGCTCCTGAACAGCTTCTACCCCAAAGCCATAAGACTGCTGAGTAGTTAATCAAATGGCTACCCGGACTTTCTGCTTTTCACCCCTACCTACATGTACATAGTACTTCAATCAATCATTTAACCAAACCTACATGTACATATTACCTCAATCAATCACCCCAACTACCTCGTACCCCAGTACACTGACTCGGTACCGGTACTCCTTGTATATAGCCTGTATATAGCCTTGTTATTGTTATTTTATTGTGTTACTATTTTATTTTTATGTATTTGTTAATTTTCATACTTTTTAACTGCATTGTTGGGAAAGGGCTCGTAAGTAAGCATTTCACGGTAAAGTCTACACTTGTTGTATTCGGCGCATGTGACAAAGAAAATGTGATTTGATTCATATGAAACAACAGCCTACCTGTTGGTTGCTCATTGTAGCCTTTTCCTTCTCATTTAGCCAACTTAATTCCATCATTTAAATTCCATTTTGCATTGATTTTGAAATCTCCCACATCACTACCTACACATGGAGCCTCTGACTATAGCGCAGCTGTGATTGGACAATAACAACAAGCTGTGTGAAACGGTTGTCTAGGCTACCAGTGCATCTTTTTTATGGGACACACTCATAAAAACTGTCCTAAAACTGTCGTTTTATTAAAATGTTGAATGTAATGGTCTGTCCTTCTAGGCTATGTAGCAATATCACATAGATCATTTTATTTACTTTTAGACAAAGCTTAAAAAAAAAAAAAAGAATACTCTCCCAAGTAATCGAATACTAATGTCAGTTGGCATATTCGAATAACCGTGCCCATCCCTAGTAGTTGGTAGCCTATTTCCGAGCATACTCCTCTGTCTGCCCCGAGAAACCCATTCAGGTGTCTTCCATCACAGAACAGGCAAGGCAAGGCTGTTTCTCTTCATTACAGAACAGACATGGACCCAGCTCACTAAGTCTCTCTTAAACGATGAAAGACAGACAAGGTTTCTATCAACGTGGACCTTCGCCACGCCTTCTGTGAACATCTGTCTCTGTTGACTGGTTTATCTCTTTATTTGTGATAGTTCAGCTGTCAAAGTCAGTTGGATGCTATTTGTTGTGGCCTGTCAATCTCATAATGTAGCAATACTGCGGAAATACAGCAATTCACACAATGTGTTAAGATATACATCTTTCAATATAGGTATAGAAAGAGAGGTAGTCTAGGTTACTGGGAGCACAATGAAAGGCAGAGAGTGTAGATTTTAGTCATTTAGCAGACACTCTTATCCAGAGCAACTTACAGGAGCAATTAGGGTTAAGTGCCTTGCTCAGGGGCACATCGACAGATTTTTCACCTAGTCGGCTCGGGGATTAGAACCAGCGACCTTTCGGTTACTGGCACAACGCTCTTAACCACTAAGCTACCTGCCGCCACGAGTTGAAAGAGTTTGTCCAGATGCTGCAGTGTGTCGGTGGCAGAGGCTGTTGTATCATACCTTGACCTGCAGAGGACGCTCTAAGACTGGTTTTCAACAGGAGAGCAGTAGTGGATATCAGTGTAGCTTCGTTGAAGACAGAGAGTAAAAAATAAATAAATAAAATATTAAGACTGGAAACATTCCTAAAAGAAGCAAGCATTTGGGCTTAAATTGATCTTTTGGCTTTTCATCAGCACAAAGTGGAACTGAAGCACATTGTTCAACACTTCATCCCTCCAGCATAAGTAATAGGGACAGTGGACAGTCTCAACCCTGAGAATGATCCGATTGTTTCCGTTTGTATCACTGGTTGTTGCAACATAGCCTGTTAAAGGGATTGTTTGGGATTTTGCCAACTCGTGGATACCATTTCTATGTCTCTGTGTCCAGTATAAATGAAGTTAAAAGTAGTTTCGACCAGCCAATGCAAACTAGCTTAGCACAAAGACTGGAAGGATTTAGGTACGGCTAACATGCTAAAGGGACCCATTGCCAAAGTCCCGAAGTATCCCTTTAAATCTTTGTATAACTAACACACGTTTTCATCCAGAATTACTACCAACATAAATGCATGATTTTTAAGGAAAGTTAGTTACATCCAAGCCTTTCATTTTAGGATGGAAGATTCTGGTTAGGCTTAGTTACAGCGGTTGTGTGTGTGTGTGTCTTTGCTTGGTAGTTCCGAGTCATTCAGTGCCTCCCGTCTGTCCACTGGCAGACACACAGTCACAGGGTAACCCTTTCCTCTATCCTCGTTCCCACCCCTCACCCCCGTATCCCCCCTATGATGGGTTTTTCTTTTGTTTTAGAAGTGCAGCTTTCAGGACCTCATCTGAAGCGGGACTTGGGAGCTCCCTTTGCCTGACGGTGAGATGAAAGTCGTTAGTGTCCTGGCTCTGTCTCTCGCTCTGGGATGTGATAGTCAGTGATAAATAGCTCTGGATAAACTGGATTCTGTAGGGTCATGGGAGAGGAGAGAGGGAGAAACCGATAGGTAGAGGGAGTGAAAGACTGCTCTCCTCACTCCGTCTTCCCTGTCTGTCTCCTCTCTCTCTCTCTCTCTCTCTCTCTCTCTCTCCTCTCCTCTCCTCTCTCCTCCTCTCTCCTCTCTCTCTCTCTCTCTCTCCTCTCTCTCCTCTCTCCTCTCTCCTCTCTCCTCCTCTCTCTCTCTCTCTGTGTCTCTGTCTGCCTGCTGATTGAGAGGCCAGAGTTGCTCTAATCACTGGCTTCATTACTAATGATGGATGTGAGGCAGAGGTGTGTCTGTCTGAGTGAGTGTGTTGTCTTCCTCCTCTTCCTCCCCATCCTCTTTCTTTCTCCTTCCTCCTCTTTCCTACCACCACCCTCTCTAACAGTGAACATGGGAACACCCCCCTCTCCTAATGTGTTTGGTCCTGTGCTGGAGCCTGGTAGTGGTTCGATCTGGGCTGTAATGAATGTGTTTAATAAGCTCCGTGGGTCGATGGGCTTAATGAAGGTGTGACAGACGATGGGCCAGGAGAACGCTAACACCTTAACCAGATGCTAATGAGCCAGAGGGGTTAACGAGGTCACAGTAATCAGTCTCTCTCTGTCTGTTTGTCTGTCTGTTCTTGTCTCTTTCTGTTTCTCTTGCTTGGTTGGTCGGTCTGTCTGTCTGTGTCTCTCTCTCTGACATTTCTCTCGCTCACTCTTTTACTCTTTCTCTCTTCCGTTCTCTCTTTCGTTCTCTCTTTCGTTCTCTCTTCTGTCTCTTCCGTTCTCTCTTTCGTTCTCTCTTCTATTCTCTCTTTCGTTCTCTCTTTCGTTCTCTCTTCCGTTCTCTCTTCGGTTCTTTCTTCCGTTCTCTCTTCCGTTCTCTCTTTCGTTCTCTCTTCCATTCTCTCTTCCGTTCTCTCTTCTGTTCTCTCTTTCCTTCTCCTTCCGTTCTCTCTTTCGTTCTCTCTTTCGTTCTTCCGTTCCTCAAGGTGCTCTGTCCGTTCTCTTTCCCGTTCTCCCTTCCGTTCTCTTTTCGTTCTCTTTTACCGTTCTCTCTTTTTTTCTCTCTTCTATTCTTCTTTTCTTTTGTTCTCTCTTTTGTTCTCTCTTCCGTTCTCTCTTCCGTTCTCTTTTCCGTTCTCTCTTTCGTTCTCTCCTTTTGTTTCTCATCTTTGTTCCTATTGTTTCTTCTTCGTTCTTCTTGTTCTATTTTCCGTTCTCTTCGTTCTCATCTTTTCGTTCTCTCTTTCGTTTTCTTCGTCTTTTCGTTCTCTCTCATTCTCTCTTTCGTTCTCTTTTTTCGTTCTCTCTTCCGTTCTCTCATTCTTTTCTTCTTTCTTGTTCTATTCTTCCGTTTTTGTTTACTTCTTTCAGTTTTTCGTTCTCTTCTGTCTCTCTTTCCGTTTCTCTCCGTTCTCTTTTCGTTCTACTCTTTCGTTTCCCGTTCCTTTGTTCTCTGTTGTCTCTTTTGTTCTTCTTCGTCTTTTCCGTTCTCTTTTCGTTCTTCCTTTGTTTCGCCTTTTTTTCTCTTTCGTTCTCTTCGTTCTCTCTTCCGTTCCTCTTTTCGTTCTCTCTTTGTTCTCATCTTTGTTCTCAGTCTTTTGTTCTCTCTTCTCGTCTCTGTCGTTTCTTTTCCGTTCTCTTTCTTTCGTTCTCTCTGTTCTTTTGTTTCTCTTTTGTTTCTCTTTTGTTTCCTTTTGTTCTACTCTTCCGTTCTCTTTTCCGTTTCCGTCTCGTTCCGTCTCTCTTTTGTTCGCTCTTTTTCCGTTCTCTCTTTTTCTTTTTTCCGTTCTCTTCGTTCTCTCTACTTTCTCTTTCCTTGTTTTCCGTTTCTCTCTTTTTTTTCGTTCTCTCTTCCGTTCTCTCTTTCGTTCTCTCTTTCGTTCTCTCTTTTGTTCTCTCTTTTGTTCTCTCTTCCGTTCTCTCTCTTTCCGTTCTCTTTTCCGTTCTCTCTTTTGTTCTCTCTTCCGTTCTCTCTTTCCGTTCTCTCTTCCGTTCTCTTCTCTCTTTCGTTCTCCCTTCCGTTCTCTCTTTCGTTCTCTCTTCTGTTCTCTCTTCTGTTCTCTCTTTTCGTTCTCTCTTCTGTTCTCTCTTTTGTTCTCTCTTTCATTCTCTCTTTCGTTCTCTCGGCTGAGCCGTTGTTGCTCCTAGACCTTTCCACTTCACAATAACAGCACTTACATGGGCAGCTCTAGCAGGGCAGAAATTTGACGAACTGACTTGTTGGAAAGGTGGCATCATATGACGGTGCCACGTTGAAAGTCACTGAGCTCTTCAGTAAAGCAATTCTACTGCCAATGTTTGTCTATGGAGATTGCATGGCTGTGTGCTCGATTTTATACACCTGTCAGCAATGGGTGTGGCTGAAATGGCCAAACCCACAAATTTGAAGGGGTGTCCACAAAGTTTTGTATTTATAGTGTACCTTCGTGCCAAATGGAATCAAAGGTTTTTTGAAAGTCTATAAAACAGGCAAATATTTTTCCTTTGTGAGTTTGGTGGACATGTTTTTGGACCAAGGTGTGGAGGGTATATATGTGATCTGTTGTTAGGTGTTTTACGGAGGAATCCAATTAGACTTTTACTTAAAATGTTGTGTTCACTTAGGAAGGCCTGAATTCTGGCATTCATTATGCTACAGAAAACCTTTCCTAAGTTACTACTAACAGAGATGCCTGTAGTTATTTGAATATAGATGTCATTAAGCCTTGGGACCAGATCTCAGGAAAGTACCCTAATCACAGTGTCTCGCTCTCTGTCTCTCTCTGTCTCTCTCTCTCTCTCTCTCTCTCTCTCTCTCTCTCTCTCTCTCTCTCTCTCTCTCTCTCTCTCTCTCTCTCTCTCTCTCTCTCTCTCTCTCTCTCGGAGTGCATGCTGGGAGTGAGTCGTGAAGCAGGAGTGATTGTGAGAGCGACTGGAATTATTTTCACTCTATTGGGTTTTGGTGTATATATATATATATATATATATATATATATATATATTGATTAGTTTAGTTGTTTTAAGGTTATCTTGTCTAACTATCACTAAGCACGTATAGGGGTGGTGGGATCGTTGAGGTTGTTTTTTGCGAGGGCACAACCAACGGTGGGGCTGGTTTCAATGGCCACTCGCGGAAGTTTGGAGTTTGAAAAACTTAGTCGGCGGCATGGAGTAAAGATTCCTGCTGCGGCCGGGTGTTCAGTGGAAGAATGTAGCTTAGCAGTGGGTGCTATCATTGGGTATGATAGCATCAAATCAGCCTCAAGGATGAATAGCGCTGTAGTGATATTTTTAGATTCCATTGAAAAGGTGAATAAGATAGTTGAGAGTGGTGTTGTGTTGCGGGAGACACAGACGCCGGTAAATCCGCTTATGAATCCGGCGAAGAAAGTTATACTTTCTAACGTGCCACCATTTGTTAGAGATGAAGTGTTGGAGCGAGAGTTATCTCGTCATGATCAAATTGTATCTACAATAAAGAAGGTTATTTTTGGATGCAAATCTCCGTTGCTGAAACATGTCGTGTCTCATAGGAGACAAGTGCATATGATTTAAAAAAAGGACATTGATGAACTGAATTTAGCATTCAGTTTTAAGATTGATGGATTTGATTATGTCTTCTACGCTTCTACTGAATCAATTAAATGCTTTGGCTGTGGAAGAGAGGGGCATTTGGTATGTAATTGTCCCGAGAACGAGCGTGCAGAGTCTGGTAGCAGCTCTAGTGCTGGTGCAGCTAATGCACCACCACGAAGGGATGAACATGCTAAGGGTGCAGGGGAAGGGAGAAGGTGGGCAGATGTGATTGGAAAAGTAGGAGAGGAAGGCAGTGCGGATACGGGGGCAATTGTGGTAGATCAGAACAAAGAAGGAGGGGAAAAAGTCGGTGAGATTGCGACTGCCGTTGCTGAGGTGGTGCTGGAAAATTAGGAGATTGAAATAATGGAAAAGGAAGCAGCTGTTTTCAAAGTACCGAGGAGTAAGAGGAAGAATGTATGGGGTGGTGAAGGGTCTAATTCCAAGAGGAAGGTAGAGATTGATAAATCAGTTGAAGATAAACAGGTTGTAGAGATGGTGGAGTTTTCTTCTGGGGAGGATAGCGAGAGTGAGTCATCTGATGCGTCACAACAAAATAGTGAGATAAATGGGGTGGAAGGGAGGTATGGGATTGAGAAGGTACGTCAGTTTCTGTAGTTGACAAAAGGGAAGAAATATATGCAGAATTATAATGTAACAGATTTTTTCCCTGAAAGTGAATTGTTTATTGAATCAGCAAAGTTTCTGATGTCAAAAATAACAGGGGGAGGTTTGACAAGCCCTGAAATTGCTAGACTCAAGAAAGTGGTCACGAGAGTGATAAGTAATGTAAATTCTAAAGGAAATGAAAGAGTTCAGTCGCAGCCTTAACTCTGTAAAGAGATGTGGTTTCTGTGTCTTCCACTGTATTTTTTAAAAAGATTTCTTCTTTAAACGTAAATGGGGCAAGAGACGTAAAAAAAAGAGCCATAGTGTATGAGTTAATTAGGGGAAAGGGAAGTGACATACATTTTCTACAAAAAACGCATAGTAATTTGGAAAATGAAGTTATGTGGCAACAGGAGTGGGGGGGGACAGTGGTGTGGTCATAAAAACTCAAAAAGTGTGGGCGTGGCCATCTTGTTCTCAAAAGGGTTTTTGCCTTTGTCATATGAGGTTGAAGAGGTAGTTGAGGGGAGGTTATTAAAAGTTAGAGCAAGGTATGAAAACATCACTATGTGTCTGATAAATGTATATGCCCCAGTGGTGGCAGTTGAGAGGGTATGTTTTTTAGAGACATTATCAAATACCATTGAGAAATGTAATAATTAAGATTATTTATTTATTGCTGGGGATTTTAACTGCACAGTCAGTGATTTAGATAGAAATCACAAAGAACCTCATATAGCCTCAAGGACTTTTTTAAAATGCCTCATTGTAACACATGAACTGTGTGATATTTGGCGAATTCAATATGGAGGCACGAGACAGTACACCTGGGCGCATGTGAGAGAGAACACCATCTCTATGGCCAGGTTAGATAGGTTTTATTGTTTTGAGCATCAATCTCAGGTCTGTAAATCAAGTGTGATAACCCCAGTGGGATTTTCTGATCATTGTTTAATAACAGAGGTGGTGTTCATTAACGATGTAAAACCCAAAAGCGCATACTGGCATTTTAATATAATAATAATAATAATAATAATAATAATAATAATAATAATAATAATAATAATAATAATAATAATAATAATAACTTTATTGAGTGATGCTCACTTCAGGAAATGTTTTAGTTTTTTCTGGGAGAGGTGGAGGTCTCAAAAGGCCAGTTTTGTATCCCTTCAACAGTGGTGGGATATAGGGAAAATCCAGATTCAACAATTCTGTAATCAATACACGAGGAATGTCACCAAGGTTATCACCAGATCAATGAAAGCCCTAGAGACTGAAATAGTGGAACTCATGATGTTGGTTGAGGCCACAGGAGATCGAGGCCATACTCAGGCCCTCAAGAGGAAAAAAGCTGCATTGGCAGACCTGCTGGGTATCAGAGCACAGGGGGCATTGGTGAGAAGTAAGTTTCAGGGAATCTCTGAAATGGATGCCTCATCCAAATATTTATTTGGTTTAGAGAAAAAGAATGGACAAAGAAGAATTATTCATTGTCTCAAATCAGCTGTTGGACAGGAGCTCACTAGCCCTAGTGAAATTAGAAAGAGGGCAGTAGAGTTCTATGCTGAGCTCTACAAGTGTGAGTACAAAGAGGATAAAACAGTGACACAGCAGTTCCTTGATGGGCTCCCACAGGTGGCTGCAGAAGCTCAGGTTGAGCTAGAGCAACCATTGTATTTGCAGGAGCTATACACTGCATTAAAAGGCATGGAAAATGGAAGGGCACCAGGCATTGATGGGCTTCCCGTTTACTTTTTTAAGTCTTTTTGGGCTATGTTGGGAGAGGATTGGCAAGCAGTAGTTAATGATAGTTTAACCGGAGGGTTACTACCAATAAGCTGCAGAAGGGCTGTCCTCACCCTACTGCCCAAAAAGGGTGACCCTAGGGAGGTGAAGAACTGGAGGCCGATGGCTTTATTGTGCACTGATTATAAGATCCTGTCCAAGGCTTTGTCCAACAGGCTGAGGGAGGTGATGGGGCAAATCATACGGACCAGTCCTACTGTGTTCCTGGAAGGCAGATAGGGGATAACATTTCTCTGATTCGTGATTTTTTGGATGTCTCTAGGGCTATTGGGTTGGATGCTGGTCTAATTTCAATTGATCAGGAAAAGGCATTTGACCAAGTTGAACATCAATACTTATGGCACACTTTTGAGGCGTTTGGGTTCAGCTCTGGTTTTATTGCCATGATAAAGGTGATATATGGTGACATTGAAAGTGTATTGAAAGTTAACGGTGGCTTGAGTGCTCCTTTTGAAGTGTGTAGAGGTATTAGACAGGGATGTTCTTTGTCGGGAATGTTATATGCCATTGCTATAGAGCCACTACTAAATAGCATTAGAAGTCGCATTGAAGGGGTGACCACTCAGAGGATATTCCTCCTATTCGTCTCTCAGCCTATGCTGATGATGTAGTTGTTTTAATGAAAAATCAAGCGGAGGTGGATAGTTTGAAAAAACATGGGGGATTGGAAGTGATGCAGACAATTACATTGATAGAAGATACAATCTATCTGCAATATTAAGCTGATCCATTCCCAAAAAATTAAAAATTAAAATAAAAATGAAAATAAAAATGAAAATAGAAATAAGAAATGACAAAAAATAAATAAAAAAACAAATAAAAAGTTATTGTACATCTTGCTAGTAGGGCTGCTGCTTTCCGGTTTCAGTTTATTCAAAGGTTGCTTTATGGACCGGAAAATGTGGTTTGGAGAGGGGTGGCAGGTCTTGTATTACAGCAGGTTGGGGGATTAGGTTTAAAGAAGGCTTTATTTTTGGTTGATAGTAGCCAGATTTCTAGGGAGGGAGTACCTCCGTTTTACAGAGGCCTTCTTAGGGTGTGGAGCATAATGAAGGTGTCCAGACGAACTTCAGCGGAGTCAGTGCATTGGCTGTTGGAGGAACCTCTGGTGTATGGGGCAAGACTGGATTGTACAACTGCAGCTGTTCCACATTTCTCCAAGATTCTGGTGTACAACTGCAGCTGTTCCACATTTCTCCAAGATTCTGGTGAAGGGCAAAATCATCACCTTAAAACAGTTAATGGCCATGGCTGGGCCCGCCTTAATGGATGGAAGACGGGTGGCTGAACATTTGGGGGTGAGGTCGGAAAGGATTGTCGGACAACTGCTGGGAAGCAGCAGGAAGGCTCTGTCAGCAGAAGAGTGGGGTATGCTGAATAGTCACAAGAAGAAGGTACAAGATGAAAACGTCTCATTTCCAAGACTAGGGATTACACCCAATATCCCAGAGTCAGAAAGAAAGGCGTTATTACTGGATTTGAGAGGGTTGGAAGAGGTGGGTTTGGATGAGGTGAATGGGAAAGACTTATAAAGGGGTGTGTCAAGGTGTTGAATAAAGATACATTGAAAAATAGAAAAGACACTCCATGGAGGGTAAAATTGGGCATTGATGACAAGGTAAAGCCACATGGAGAGCACTGTACAAGCCACCGTTACAAAAGGGTACTGGGGATATGCAATGGAGGGTTTTACATGGCATCATTGCAGTTAATGCTTTTGTATCTGTTATTAACTCAGATGTTGGAGATGGATGTCCTTTTTGTAATATAAGATAAACAATTTTTCACTGTTTTATGGAGTGTGAGAGGATAAAACCTCTCTTTGGAAATGCTGGAGTCTTTGTTTAAAGCTGTAGGGGAGATTTTCAATAACACTGTTTTTATTTTGGGGTTTCAATATAGTAAGCAACAGAAAAGAAAATGTAAACTGTTACATTTTATTTTGGGACAAGCTAAGATGTCAATTTTTCTGAGTAGGAAACATAAGATAGAAACGGGATATGGGCAGGATGTAAGATGTGTTTTTAAAGGATTAGTGAAAGCGAGAATAAAAGTGGATTTGAGTTCTTCTCGGCTGTAAAATATCTCCCATTGTTTGAGGATAAGTGGGCCTACGAAGGAGCGGTTTGTTTTGTGGAGGAGGGGAAACTATTTTTTGTTGATGAAATTAGTTGAATGTATATGTTTTTTTGTATTTTTATTTAATTTATTTTTATTTTTGTTTTCATTTTTATTTAGGAATGGCATTTGTTGTCTGAAAAGGCAGTGTGCCATTATTTATGTTAACACTTGAGTATAAAATAAAGGTTTGATAAAAACTAAAAACTCTCTCTCTCTCTCTGTCTCTCTCTCTCTCTCTCTCTCTCACTCTCTCTCTCTCTCTCTCTCTCTCTCTCTCTCTCTCTCTCTCTCTCTCTCTCTCTCTCTCTCTCTCTCTGTCTCTCTCTCGCTCTCTGTCTCTCTCTCTCTCTCTCTCTCTCTCTCTCTCACTCTCTCTCTCTGTCTCTCTCTCTCTCTCTCTCTCTCTCTCTCTCTCTCTCTCTCTCTCTCTCTCTCTCTCTCTCTCTCTCTCTCTCTCTCTTTCTCTTTCAGTAACATATATAAGACAGCGTATCTCTTCAGGGAGAACTTGGCTTCAGAAAGCGGGGTGAAAACCTCAAGAGTACTGGACCTTTCTTTCTTCCAAGGACCCTGGTTCTGAGAAGAGGCCTGTTTTCAAGGTCCCTACAATATTACAAATGTCTATACTGAGGGCTGTAGGCCTTCTGTTCCAACAGCCAATGATTGATAGCTAGGGATGTGTGGCCTACAGTTGCTGTCAAGTATGGAATGTTGTGTAGAATGTTTGGACCACACACACATACACTGTTCTCAGACATTCTGATACAGAACTCCATGGAATCCATGGTCACTCATTGGACAATTGTCACTTTGGTGATGTCTACTTATATAGTGTATTCCATAGGCTACATTATGTGCATTTCAAGGGAGGGGAAGGGGGTTGTCATGTGTCATCATTGGTCCCCTATACTGACCTACAGTATGTAGGGCTACCCATCTACCCATACTCCTTCACTGTCACCAAGGAGCAGTCACTCACCAGAGACAGTGTGACTTCCTGAGTCTCATATTTCTTGGTGTAGCGCTGGCGAGCTCGGTAACACCCGTTATGATGTATAGCGTCAGGTCAACCAATCGATTAATGGAGCACTTAGCCAAGCTAATTAACTGCTGTGTAAGATTGGGGGGAAGCACCAGAGAGAGGGGGAGTGGACCTAGATAACCCTGTAGCATATATCTCTTGCAGTAACACTTAGTGGCGCTTCTCATGTCTAGGTGCTGTTGGCTTTATAGACACTGTAGTGTGTTAAGTTGTTATATATTACCTGTCTGTTATACAAGGTAATCCTCATAACAGTGGCCTGACCACCACCAACCTTACATGTGGTGTAATGGAGGTTAAACGCACGTTTTGCTGGAAATGCATAGAAAATATAGGGAGCGTTACTTTACTCAAAGTGATTTAGTGTTTACCCACCTATTTTTTTAAAACCACTACATCACTGATGTGAACGTAAAGCAGAGGTCTTCCATCCTGGAGAACTAGAGGGTGTACACGTTCTTAACATTCTTCTTTTGTGAACTTTATCCCTCACTTCATCTCTCACTTTTCTTCACCTCATCTACTCTTTCCAACTGTGCCGCCTCTGAGAGATCGGATGAAAATAGAGGGATGAAATGTTGACTTTTTATTGTCACCTGTCACTACTTCCCCCTTCAAATCCCTGTTATCCCTTCTGCTCCCCTCTCCTCCCCTATCAGCTGTCATTCCTTCTGCTCCCCTCTCCTCCCCTGTCATCTGTCATCCCTTCTGCTCCCCTCTCTCCACCCTGTCATCTGTCATCCCTTCTGCTCCCCTCTCCTTCCCTGTCAGCTGTCATCCCTTCTGCTCCGCTCTCCTCCCCTGTCATCTGTCATCCCTTCTGCTCCCCTCTCCTCCCCTGTCATCTGTCATCCCTTCTGCTCCCTCTCCTCCCCTGTCATCTGTCATCCCTTCTGCTCCCCTCTCCTCCCCTGTCATCTGTCATCCCTTCTGCTCCCCTCCTCCCCTTGTCATCTGTCATCCCTTCTGCTCCCCTCTCCTCCCCTGTCATCATCCCTTCTGCTCCCCCCCTCTCATCGTCTTCCCCTGTCCCTTTCTCCTCCTCCTCTGTCATCTGTCATCCCTTCTCTCCCTCTCCCCTCTGTCACTGTCATCCCTATCTGCATCCCCTCCTCCCCCGCCATCTGCATCCTTCTGCTCCCCTCTCCGTCATCTGTCATCCTTCTGCTCCCCTCTCCTGCCCTGTCATCTGTCATTCCTTCTGCTCCCCTCTCCCCCCCTGTCATCTGTCATCCCTTCTGCTCCCCTCTCCTCCCGTCATCTGTCATCCCTTCTGCTCCCCTCCCCCCCTGTCATCTGTCATCCCTTCTGCTCCCCTCTCCTCCCGTCATCTGTCATCCCTTCTTCTCCCCTCTCCTCCCGTCATCTGTCATCCCTTCTGCTCCCCTCTCCTCTCCTCCCCTGTCATCTGTCATCCATTCTGCTCCCCTCTCCTCCCCAGTGATCTCTCGTTCCGTTCTCCTCTCCTCCCCTCAGCTCCTCTCCTACCTACACTGTGTGTATTTTGTGCAAAACTGAATCAGTTCCCTCAATTAAAAGTGAATTTGGTTAAAGTGATTTGGCGCCATTGGGCTCAGATGAAAGAGCACTGGGTGCATTCTTTATTTGTGTGTGTGTATGTGTGTGGTCTGTGTGTGGTGTGTGCGCAGAGTGAAAGCAGCTGATTTACATTTAGATAAATCCCCATGGATACGCTGTTGTCATTGAGATGCAGGGGGCTAAATCCAGGGCCCCCACCCGTGCCCTATTACCTGCAGGAGATGGCCTACTTTCACAGACAGATCAACCCTGACTGCTTAAATAGCCACTGTATGTGTGTGTAATATAATTCCTGCTTTGTTTTTCTTCAACGTACAAAACATCAGTGACATGACATTCCAGATCATATGTATCTATGCATGTCGTCATTGTGTGTGTATGTTTGTGTTTGCATCAGTGTGTGTGTGTGTTGGGCAGGCAAGGCGATGATGGATTGACTGTGGGGCGGTGGGTGGTGGCTGATTGACAGCTAGTGTTGACGGCGGTCGGATGGGCTGAAAAGGCCATAAATATTAACCAGTGCCAGATGAAGGTGTGTGTTGTGCTGTTGGGAGGTAGCGATTTGCTGCAGATTTATCTGAGAGACCAGAGGAGACTATTGATTCACTAAGAGTATTCAATCAATACTGTACTGTACCTCTCTACTATAGTGCTGTAGAGTATTTAATACTATACATCTCTACTATAGTGTTGTAGAGTATGTAATACTATACCTCTCCACTATAGTGCTGTAGAATATTTAATAATATACCTCTCTACTATAGTGCTGTAGAGTATTTAATACTATACCTCTCTACTATAGTGCTGTAGAGTATTTAATACTATACCGCTCTACTATAATGCTGTAGAGTATTTAATACTATACCTCTCTACTATAGTGCTGTAGAGTATTTAATAGTATACCTCACTACTATAGTGCTGTAGAGTATTTAATACTATACTGCTCTACTATAATGCTGTAGAGTATTGATTTCCTTCTCTTCCTCTTTAAATCCCTCTCTTCCATGTGTAACCCAGCCTGTGTTCTTGTCCCTGTTAAGCAGATCCACCCTCTGTCTATTCCCCCTCTTTTCTCTTCTCTCTGAAGAGCTGAAGATGTGTCAGAGGAATGTAGGATTACCACATTTACAGCACACACACACTCCTGCTGCTTACAACAGAGGGGGCTATGTTAGGAGACATTGCTCCTGCTTCTCTAGGGCACAGAGCAGTGAAGCTGATAGGCTAGAATATTGTATTTCAACTCAACCCTATGGCCAACTACTATGCTGTGAACTCATACTAACCGTACTATTTGTGATGTAAATTAAATATTTAGGATGCTTATTGGTCATAGTATGGATATAGTTAGTATGCTAAAAGTTCCCAGATTTCGTACTACATTCGCCAAAATTTGAAGTATACAAGCAGTGGACACTATTTCTGTGCTTTTAGGGCCCATAATGCAATTATTCAGAAAAAGGGCTTGGCTTCACAACATTTTCAGATTTGAAGAAAATGGCGGAAAATATGCAGCCGAAGTCCGACGAGAGCGGATACAAATGTAAGTACAAAAAGTAAATGTTCATTGCTTTAACTAATTATGACAAATGTTAAGAATATAACCTCTTAAGGATCGTACCTTAAGGGGGGGGTGAATGTATCAAACCAGTTGCCGTGACAAAAGTGTTTTGTTGTTGTGCACTATCCAATAGCATGGTATATTTTAGCTGTAATAGCTACTGTAAATTGGACACTGCAGATTAACAATAATTGAAGCTTTCTGCCCATATACAGTGGGGAAAAAAAGTATTTAGTCAGCCACCAATTGTGCAAGTTCTCCCACTTAAAAAGATGAGAGAGGCCTGTAATTTTCATCATAGGTACACGTCAACTATGACAGACAAATTGAGGGAAAAAAATCCTGAAAATCACATTGTAGGATTTTTAATGAATTTATTTGCAAATTATGGTGGAAAATAAGTATTTGGTCACCTACAAACAAGCAAGATTTCTGGCTCTCACAGACCTGTAACTTCTTCTTTAAGAGGCTCCTCTGTCCTCCACTCGTTACCTGTATTAATGGCACCTGTTTGAACTTGTTATCAGTATAAAAGACACCTGTCCACAACCTCAAACAGTCACACTCCAAACTCCACTATGGCCAAGACCAAAGAGCTGTCAAAGGACACCAGAAACAAAATTGTAGACCTGCACCAGGCTGGGAAGACTGAATCTGCAATAGGTAAGCAGCTTGGTTTGAAGAAATCAACTGTGGGAGCAATTATTAGGAAATGGAAGACATACAAGACCACTGATAATCTCCCTCGATCTGGGGCTCCACGCAAGATCTCACCCCGTGGGGTCAAAATGATCACAAGAACGGTGAGCAAAAATCCCAGAACCACACGGGGGGACCTAGTGAATGACCTGCAGAGAGCTGGGACCAAAGTAACAAAGCCTACCATCAGTAACACACTACGCCGCCAGGGACTCAAATCCTGCAGTGCCAGACGTGTCCCCCTGCTTAAGCCAGTACTGTCTCCTATCATTGCTACGCTGACGATACACAACTAATCTTCTCCTTTCCCCCTTCTGATAACCAGGTGGCGAATCGCATCTCTGCATGTCTGGCAGACATATCAGTATGGATGACGGATCACCACCTCAAGCTGAACCCTGGCAAGACGGAGCTGCTCTTCCTCCCGGGGAAGGACTGCCCGTTCCATGATCTCGCCATCACGGTTGACAACTCCGTTGTGTCCTCCTCCCAGAGTGCGAAGAGCCTTGGCGTGACCCTGGACAACACCCTGTCGTTCTCCGCTAACATCAAGGCGGTGACCCGATCCTGCAGGTTCATGCTCTACAACATTCGGAGAGTACGACCCTGCCTTACACAGGAAGCGGCACAGGTCCTAATCCAGGCACTTGTCATCTCCCGTCTGGATTACTGCAACTCGCTGTTGGCTGGCCTCCCTGCCTGTGCCATTAAACCCCTACAACTCATCCAGAATGCCGCAGCCCGTCTGGTGTTCAACCTTCCCAAGTTCTCTCACGTCACCCCCCTCCTCCGCACACTCCACTGGCTTCCAGTTGAAGCTCGCATCCGTTACAAGACCATGGTGCTTGCCTATGGAGCAGTGAGGGGAACGGCACCTCCGTACCTTCGGGCTCTGATCAGTCCCTACACCCAAACGAGGGCATTGCGTTCATCCACCTCTGGCCTGCTGGCTCCCCTTCCTCTGCGGAAGCATAGTTCCCGCTCAGCCCAGTCAAAACTGTTCGCTGCTCTGGCACCCCAATGGTGGAACAAGCTCCCTCACGACGCCAGGACAGCGGAGTCACTCACCACCTTCCGGAGACATTTGAAACCCCACCTCTTTAAAGAATACCTGGGATAGGATAACGTAATCCTTCCACCCCCCCCCCCCCCCCCCCCCCAAAAAAAAAAAAAAAAAAAGTGTAAAGTGGTTATCCCACTGGCTATAGGGTGAATGCACCAATTTGTAAGTCGCTCTGGATAAGAGCGTCTGCTAAATGACGTAAATGTGCCCTTGATCAAGGCACTTAACCCTAATTGCTCCTGTAAGTCGCTCTGGATAAGAGCGTCTGCTAAATGACTAAAATGTAAAATGTAATGTAAATGTCTGAAGTTTGCTAGAGTGCATTTGGATGATCCAGAAGAGGATTGGGAGAATGTCATATGGTCAGATGAAACCAAAATAGAACTTCTTGGTAAAAACTCAACTCGTCGTGTTTGGAGGACAAAGAATGCTGAGTTGCATCCAAAGAACACCATAGCTACTGTGAAGCATGGGGGTGGAAACATCATGCTTTGGGGCTGTTTTTCTGCAAAGGGACCAGGACGACTGATCCATGTAAAGGAAAGAATGAATGGGCCATGTATCGTGAGATTTTGAGTGAAAACCTCCTTCCATCAGCAAGGGCATTGAAGATGAAACGTGGCTGGGTCTTTCAGCATGACAATGATCCCAAACACACCGCCCGGGCAACGAAGGAGTGGCTTCGTAAGAAGCATTTCAAGGTCCTGGAGTGGCCTAGCCAGTCTCCAGATCTCAACCTCATAGAAAATCTTTGGAGGGAGTTGAAAGTCCGTGTTGCCCAGCGACAGCCCCAAAACATCACTGCTCTAGAGGAGATCTGCATGGAGGAATGGGCCAAAATACCAGCAACAGTGTGTGAAAACCTTGTGAAGACTTACAGAAAACGTTTGACCTGTGTCATTGCCAACAAAGGGTGTATAACAAAGTATTGAGAAACTTTTGTTATTGACCAAATACTTATTTTCCACCATAATTTGCAAATAAATTCATAAAAAATCCTACAATGTGATTTTCTGGATTTTCTTTCCTCATATTGTCTGTCATAGTTGACGTGTACCTATGATGAAAATTACAGGCCTCTCTCATCTTTTTAAGTGGGAGAACTTGCACAATTGGTGGCTGACTAAATACTTTCTTTCCCCACTGTAAGACATGTCTATGTCACGGAAAGTTGGCTGTTGTTTACAACTTCATTCTGGTCACATATCGCATATTGAGCAGCAACCGTCCCGTTATAGGGACACCGATCCTGTAGAGTTAAGAATAAAATGTTGAGCAATGTGATAAAAAAGTAATGACTTTTCAAATAAGTTACGTTACACGTTATGTTGGCTGACAATTTGTTAGCTACGCTACAGTACTTGCCATACGAACCACATAGCATATCACTACAGCAGTTGCTTGTATGTACCGGTATGTTAGCTAGCTACCTAATGTTAGTTGGCTACTAATACATCGAACTTGACAATATATTAAGTATTCCATAATTGTGTGTGGTACGTCGGCCTCGAGCCACATACAGTGCATCTGGTGCAGAGTTGAGCCATATAGGGTTTAACATAGGAATGGACACTAATAATGAAACCTCAAATACAGATGGAGGAAAACATTTGACTTGATTATTCACGTCATTCTTAACTTTGCTAAGTGGTATAGTCGTTGTGCGTTCTCAATGGACATTGTTAATGAAGTCATAAGATGTCTAGCTAGTAATTTGTTGTGCTAACAAGCTAGCAAGAAGTTGCGTAGCAACAGCATCAACTTCCGGTAGACAGGCAACGTGCAAGTACACACAACGGAAAGGATACCGTTCGTTTACAGTATACTTAAAAATGAACTAATAGTATGTAGTATATACTCATTAAGTATCAAATCAAATCAATTTTTATTTGTCACATACACGTGTTTAGCAGATGTTATAGCGGGTGTAGCGAAATGCTTGTACTTCTAGCTCCGACAGTGCAGTAATATCTAACAATATCACAACATATACCCAATACACACAAAACTAGTAAGGAATGGAATTTAAGAGTATATACATATATGGACAAGCATTGACAGAGCGGCATGGACTAAGATACTGTATGTAGTATACAGTATGTTAGTATGGGTATTCGAACACAGCGCTATTGTCAACTTTGTGTTTACTTAACACCCACTTGACTACTCACTCAACACCCTCTGTCAGTTGACTTATCACCAGCACAGACACGGAGAGTGCGATAGAGAGGGAGAGCTGGATGGAGACCGGAATGATCATGGTGTAAGACTACGTGAGTTGGAGCGAGAGGGCAGGGGGAAGAGAGAAAAGTTACAGATTTCCAGAGAAAGTCGGACATGGGGAATGAGATCGAAAGAGAGACAGAAGGAGGAAATTAGGCTGGATAAAGACAGGAGAGGGTGAGCGAGAGATGTTGAAGGGGAGAAAGAGAGAGAGGAAGGGATGGAGGGAGGGAGGGAGACGAGGGGAACAGAGGAGTGAGGGCAGCGGGCTGCTCATCCCTGTTGGTCTCGTTATCCTGTCAGTGACACAGGTCTCATCAGAGAGAAAACAGCAGCATGCCTCTGGAGGGCACACACACATACACACACACACACACACACACACACACACACACACACACACACACACACACACACAGATTCTACAAGTCTCTCCATGAGAAATTCCATCATTTGGTGTGTTGTTGATGGTGGTGGAAAATGCTGTCACAGGCACCGCTCCAGAATCCAGAATAAGTGTTACATTTGGAGGAGATCTGGTGACAAACACACACACACACACACACACACACACACACACACACACACACACACACACACACACACACACACACACACACACACACCCTTTAAACCCCCTATGCCCTTTGAGACCCCTCTTTCAAAGTCACTGAGATCTCTTCTTCTAGCCATGGTAGCCAAAATAATGGGCTACTGGGCATTTTTATACATGACCCTAAGCATGATGGGATGTTAATTGTTTAATTAACTCAGGAACCACACCTGTTTGGAAGCACCTGCTTTCAATATACTTTGTATCCCTCATTTACTCAAGTGTTTCCTTTATTTTGGCAGTTACCTGTGTATATATACATTATACAGAGAGTACCATGAAACTGGTGCCAAATAAAACCTTTCCTCATCAATACCTTTTTACAGAGTTGTTGTCTACATAATTTAAGCTATAAAGCTGCATTTGTTTGTACAATTCACTTTGATTTGAAAAATGGATAGGCTAAATGTCTGTGATTTAATCGATTTTCTGAAAATTCGGTCTGTGCCTAGTTAGTGACGACAATGAAACTCCGACGTAAATGTGTCAGTTGGCCTTTTAGTCTAAATGTCTAAGATAGCCTAGACACCACAGGAGGTTGGTGGCACCTTAATGTGTGTGTGTGTGTGTGTGTGTGTGTGTGTGTGTGTGTGTGTGTGTGTGTGTGTTGGGCAGGCAAGGCGATGATGGATTGACTGTGGGGCGGTGGGTGGTGGCTGATTGACAGCTAGTGTTGACGGCGGTCGGATGGGCTGAAAAGGCCATAAATATTAACCAGTGCCAGATGAAGGTGTGTGTTGTGCTGTTGGGAGGTAGCGATTTGCTGCAGATTTAGCTGAGAGACCAGAGGAGACTATTGATTCACTAAGAGTATTCAATCAATACTGTACTGTACTTCTCTACTATAGTGCTGTAGAGTATTTAATACTATACATCTCTACTATAGTACTGTAGAGTATTTAATAATATACCTCTCTACTATAGTGCTGTATAGTATTTCATACTATACCTCTCTACTATAGTGCTGTAGAGTATTTAATACAATACCTCTCTACTATAGTGCTGTAGAGTATTTAATACTATACCTCTCCACTATAGTGCTGTAGAGTATTTAATACTATACATCTCTACTATAGTACTGTAGAGTATTTAATAATATACCTCTCTACTATAGTGCTGTATAGTATTTCATACTATACCTCTCTACTATAGTGCTGTAGAGTATGTAATACAATACCTCTCTACTATAGTGCTGTAGAGTATTTAATACTATACCTCTCTACTATAGTGCTGTAGAGTCAGTTGACGTTTTAGTCTAAATGTCTAAGACAGCCTAGACACCACAGGAGGTTGGTGGCACCTTAATTGGGGAGGACGGGCTCGTGGTAATGACTGGAGTGGAATAGGTGGAATGGTATCATGTGTTTGAGGCCTTTTCATTCGCTCCGTTCCAGCCATTTATTATGAGCCGTCCTCCCCTCAGCATCCTCCACTGGTAGAGACACACTCCCACTTCTCTATGGCCTTCAGTGAGCTCTCTAGTGGTCTATTGGAGCACTGTTGACAGTGCTCTGTAGTGGTCTATTGGAGCACTGTTGACAGTGCTCTGTAGTGGTCTATTGGAGCACTGTTGACAGTGCTCTGTAGTGGTCTATTGGAGCACTGTTGACAGTGCTCTGTGAACATGATTGATGACTGAGTGGAGGGATGGAAGATTGATGAGGAAGAAGAACTGATTTTTATAAAACGTTCTACTTCAAAAGTATTGGGAGAGTGTTGTTGTTGTTGTTGTTTTGGCTCTGTACTCCAGATACAATGACAATGACAATGACAATGAGGTTACAGTGCAGACTGTCAGCTTTAATTTGAGGGTATTCTCATCCCTATCGGGTGAACCGTTTAGAAATTACAGCACTTTTTGTTCACCAAAAGTATTGGGACAAATTCACTTATGTGTATTAAACTAGTCAAAAGTGTAGTATTTGGTCCCATGTTCATAGCACGCAATGATTACATCAAGCTTGTGACTCTACACATTTGTTGGATGCATTTGCTGTTTGTTTTGGTTGTGTTTCAGATTATTTTGTGCCCAATGGAAATGAATGCTAAATAATGTTTTGTGTCATTTTGGAGTCACTTTTATTGTAAATATGAATAGAATATGTTTCTAAACACTTCTACATCAATGTGGATGCTACCATGATTACGGTTAGTCTTGAATGAATCGTGAATAATGATGAGTGAGAAAGTTACAGACGCACCAATAAAATACCCCCAAGTCATGCTAACCTCTCATCATTACAATAACAGGTGAGGTTAGCATTCTTTTGGGGGTATGATATTTGTGCGTCTGTAACTTTTTCACAATTCATTATTCACGATTCATTCAGGACTATCCGTAATCATGGTAGCATCCAGAATGAAGTGTCAGCGCAGTATCTCTTTCGCTAGAAGCTCACGCACACACGCACAGACACACCGCACTTACGCAGACAACACACACACACACACCCACATGCACACCTCAGCTAACTGCAGATACCTAAACACTGATATCTTTCAGAGAACTCGACTACTGTAGATTCTTCCATTAAGCTCCCTCTAACAGATCTGCTGTTTGTGTTTTTCTTTAAAGCCTAATAGCTACACATATTCGTGCCAAATGATCCCTGTTGATTGCTATTAGTCATTTTCTCCAGACAGACACTGCCTGGGTGGCTCTAGGACGACTTCATCTGGAGTTCCACCACACACCTCACGAGGTTCCATGTCTCCTATATGACTCCTATGTGGTTCTCCCATCTCTCTGTGTGTGTGTACTCTCCTGCTGACCCTCAGTGGTCCAGCATCTAATCCCACAAAGGCCTGTGGGTCATACAACCAGGAATTGGGTTTACAGGTCTGTCTCACAGGGACCAATCAAGGCCGTCGCGGCAGGGTTCCGTGCGACGTGATTGGCCGGTCAGCGATGAAAGGGTGATTCCACAGAGGAGGTCCTGCTGTTCTGGAAAGGTGGATTTAAAAGGAAATGTTCACTTGTATGAAACAGACACACACACACCCTCAGGCTAAGATGAGGAATCCTAGTTCAGGATGTGGACCTAATGGTCATTTGTGTGTGTACACGTCTTAGTGTACACATGCCCAAGGGCTCTACTAGAATCTGATCTCCTTCATTACCTCCATTGTATCTTTACAAAGAATAACATAACTAAGTAGCCAAGAAATAGCCTGTATAAGTAGCTTGAAAAAGCCCCTTTTTCAGCTAACAAATTGGAGACGGTTCTATTCTTTCTATAAACCTTCTGACTTAAACACAGCAGATACAAAGACTGCTCCTCTCACTTCTCTCTCCTACTTCTTCTCTACTCTCTCTTCTTCTATTTCTACTCCTCTCTCTCCCTCTCTTTCTCTACTCCTCTTTCTCTCCTCTTCTTACTTCCTTCCTCTTACTTCTCTATCCCTCTCTCTATCTTTTCATCCTGTTCTCTCTCGTTCCTCCCATCTTTCGCATTGCCTGCCCCCATCTTTCCCTCTCTCTCTTTCTGTTTCTCTCTCTCTTTCTGTTTCTCTCTCTTTCTGTTTCTCTCTCTCTTTCTGTTTCTCTCTCTTGCTGTTTCTCTCTCTTCTGTTTCTCTCTCTCTTTCTGTTTCTCTCTCTCTTTCTGTTTCTCTCTCTTTCTGTTTCTCTCTCTTCAGACATAGCTGGTTGTTTCACCATCTCTTTCCCTCTCTCTCTTTCTCCTCTGTCTAAGCCCATTAGTGTCTGTGTTGGAGCCCTGTGAGAGCCTGTCCGTGTTGGAGCCCTGTGAGAGCCTGTCCGTGTTGGAGCCCTGTGAGAGCCTGTCCGTGTCGGAGCCCTGTGAGAGCCTGTCCGTGTCGGAGCCCTGTGAGAGCCTGTCCGTGTTGGAGCCCTGTGAAAGCCTGTCCGTGTTGGAGCCCTGTGAGAGCCTGTCCGTTTCGGAGCCCTGTGTTGGAGCCCTTTGAGAGCCTGTGTAGCTCTCTGTTCACGCCCTGACCCCACAAGACCCCTCAAGCCCCTGGTCTGAACAGAAAGCCATGTGTGACCTGCCATGTACAAACAATCACAAAACACAATACAATACATCTCCTCTCCAACCATGGCCTTGCAACTGCTTTCTAACCACGTTGGTTGTCTGGATATTCCTGTGAAACGTTAGCAGGTTCTTTTGTACGGTCGGATGAAAAGAAGGAAGGAAGAAAGGAAGTGAAGGAGCGGTTAAGTTATGCGCAGGCCAGGCGACACGCCTGCTTGTCGTCCTCCATCCCTCCCTCTTTCTCTCTTGCCTCCCTCTGTGCTGTTCTTTTATAGCGAGGAGAGGGTTTGGGTCAGTCGTCATGCCCCTCCAGCGTTTGTCCCGGTCGTCATGCTCAACAATGGCTGTTTGGAGGGGCAACGCCTCGTCCAGCTCTACTCTACTCCACCCCAGCCATGTCCTCCCTCCACCTGCCTCCCCAGGCCTCACCCGGCCTTCCTCTGCCTCCCTATGTCTTACCAAGTCTCCCTTATCAAGTCTCCCTATGTCTTACCAACTCTCCCTATGTCTTACCAAGTATCCATTACCAAGTCTCCCTATGTCTTACCAAGTCTCCCTATGTCTTACCAAGTCTTCCTATGTCTTGCCAAGTCTCCCTATGTCTTACCAAGTCTTCCTGTGTCTTACCAAATCTCCCTATGTCTTACCAAATCTCCCTATGTCTTACCAAATCTCCCTATGTCTTACCAAATCTACCTATGTCTTACCAAATCTTCCTGTCTTACCAAACTCAACCACCCCTTGCCTTACCTAGTCTAGCCCATCCTTCCCCAGAACCCTTGCTTCCCTCTCCTCTACCCCTCTCCTCCACCCTTCTCCTCTACCCCTCTCCTCCACCCTTCTCCTCTACCCTTCTCCTCTACCCCTCTCCTCTACCCTTCTCCTCTACCCCTCTCCTCTACCCCTCTCCTCTATTTCATTTCATTTCAGTCATTTAGCAGACGCTCTTATCCAGAGCGACTTACAGTTGGTGAATGCATACATATATATATATATATAAAAAAAAAATCATACTGGCCCCCCGTGGGAAACGAACCCACATCCCTGCCGGCCAAACCCTCCCCTACCTTAGACGACGCTGGACCAATTGTGCGCCGCCCATGGGTCTCCCGGTTGCGGCCGGCTGTGACAGAGCCTGGACTCGAACCAGGATCTCTAGTGGCACAGCTAGCACTGCGATGCAGTGCCTTAGACCACTGCGCCACTCGGGAGTTAGCCTCTACCCCTCTCCTCTACCCCTCTCCTCTATCCCTCTCCACTACCCCTCTGACACTATGCTGACAAGGTAACATTATAAATATTACCACATAAATACTGGTTATGCTAATGAGGTAACATTATAACACCACAATATAAATACCTGCTATGCTGATGAGGTAACGTTGTAACGCCACCATATAAATACTGTCTATGCTGATGAGGTAACGTTATAACACCACCATATAAATACCGTCTATGCTGATGAGGTAATACTATAACACCACAATATAAATACCTGCTATGTTGATGAGGTAACGTTGTAACGCCACCATATAAATACTGTCTATGCTGATGAGGTAACGTTATAACACCACCATATAAATACTGTCTATACTGATGAGGTAATACTATAACGCCACCATATAAATACCGTCTATGCTGATGAGGTAATACTATAACACCACCATATAAATACTGTCTATGCTGATGAGGTAATACTATAACGCCACCATATAAATACTGTCTATGCTGATGAGGTAACGTTATAACACCACCATATAAATACCGTCTATGCTGATGAGGTAACGTTATAACACCACCATATAAATACTGTCTATGCTGATGAGGTAATACTATAACACCACCATATAAATACCTGCTATGCTGATGAGGTAACATTATAACACCAATGACTGAAAAGTCATAGTCGATCGATCAATAATATAATAATACTTTTAGCAAAAATGTTTATTTTCAATTTACAATCTGTAGAAACAATGAGAATAGAAGGGTTCAGAACTTTTGTAAAACATCACAGTACAGTTGAAAAATACACTTTTCAAAAAAATGAAGGGAACACTAAAATAACACATTCTAGATCTGAATGAATGAAATTATCTTATTAAATACTTTTTTCTTTACATAGTTGAATGTGCTGACAACAAAATCACACAAAAATTATCAATGGAAATAAAATGTATCAACCCATGGAGGTCTGGATTTGGAGTCACACTCAAAATTAAAGTGGAAAACCACACTACAGGCTGATCCAACTTTGATGTAATGTCCTTAAAACAAGTCAAAATGAGGCTCAGTAGTGTGTGTGGCCTCCACGTGCCTGTATGACCTCCCTACAACGCCTGGGCATGCTCCTGATGAGGTGGCGGATGGTCTCCTGAGGGATCTCTTCCCAGACCTGGACTAAAGCATCCGCCAACTCCTGGACAGTCTGTGGTGTAACGTGGCATTGGTGGATGGAGCGAGACATGATGTCCCAGATGTGCTCAATTGGATTCAGGTCTGGGGAACGGGCGGGCCAGTCCATAGCATCACTGCCTTCCTCTTGCAGGAACTGCTGACACATTCCAGCCACATGAGGTCTAGCATTGTCTTGCATTAGGAGGAACCCAGGGCCAACCGCACCAGCATATGGTCTCACAAGGGGTCTGAGGATCTCATCTCGGTACCTAATGGCAGTCAGGCTACCTCTGGCGAGCACATGGAGGGCTGTGCGGCCCCCCAAAGAAATGCCACCCCACACCATGACTGACCCACCGCCAAACTGGTCATGCTGGAGGATGTTGCAGGCAGCAGAACATTCTCCACAGCGTCTCCAGACTCTGTCACGTCTGTCACATGTGCTCAGTGTGAACCTGCTTTCATCTGTGAAGAGCACAGGGCGCCAGTGACGAATTTGCCAATCTTGGTGTTCTCTGGCAAATGCCAAACGTCCTGCACGGTGTTGGGCTGTAAGCACAACCCCCACCTGTGGACGTCAGGCCCTCATACCACCCTCATGGAGTCTGTTTCTGACCGTTTGAGCAGACACATGCACATTTGTGGCCTGCTGGAGGTCATTTTGCAGGGCTCTGGCAGCGTTCCTCTTGCTCCTCCTTGCACAAAGGCGGAGGTAGCGGTCCTGCTGCTGGGTTGTTGCCCTCCTACGGCCTCCTCCACATCTACTGATGTACTGGCCTGTCTCCTGGTAGCGCCTCCATGCTCTGGACACTACGCTGACAGACACAGCAAACCTTCTTGCCACAGCTCGCATTGATGTGCCATCCTGGATGAGCTGCACTACCTGAGCCACTTGTGTGGGTTGTAGACTCCGTCTCATGCTACCACTAGAGTGAAAGCACCGGCAGCATTCAAAAGTGACCAAAACATCAGCCAGGAAGCATAGGAACTGAGAAGTGGTCTGTGGTCACCAGCTGCAGAACCACTCCTTTATTGGGGGTGTCTTGCTAATTGCCTATAACTTCCACCTGTTGTCTATTCCATTTGCACAACAGCATGCTACATTTATTGTCAATCATTGTTGCTTCCTAAGTGGACAGTTTGATTTCACAGAAGTGTGATTGACTTGGAGTTACATTGTGTTGTTTAAGTGTTCCCTTTATTTTTTTGAGCAGTGTATATGGCAAATATAAATCCAATATGGATGGTGTTAAGAGATAGATGGGAGGGGTTGAATGGAGTTGAAGGATGGGACTAATAACAACTAACAACAACTAACAACAACTAATAACAACAAGATAACTAATGTAAAGCTTACTGTGTCCATAATAAGTATATAGGTTATAGGTTGAGAGCTTTTGTGAAAGAGCACAGTTAGAAAGATATGGCATATAGAAGCAAACCGGATGGACATCATGAAAATGATCGGAGAGGTTGAGGGTAGAGGAAGTTCAGGAGTAAAAACTAACAACATAGAATTATTGTAAAATTGACTGTGTCCATAAAATGTATATAGTATGTATAAGCTGGAAGTAGAGGCCTAAGCATTGTTGTTCACTAGTTTACTCCAATTAGGGAAGGGGTGATGGGGTTGGAATGTAATACAGGGAAATATATTTTTAAAAAGGATATGTATATATATGTATGTATATGTATGTGTATGTATGTATATATATATATTTGTGAGAAAAAATATATATGGGGGATTGGAAGTGATGCAGACAATTACATTGATGGAAGTTACAATCTATCTGCAATATTAAAGCTTCCTTAAAAGTGACAAGCCATTCAGGCCAGCCTTCTTGATTGAACTTTCCTAAACTACATTCTAATTCTGTGTGTGTGAGTGTTTCAATTTGCATTTGTGTGTTTGCATACAGACAGACCGACCCACAGTATGCATCTGTCAGTGATGGCATGCAAAGTGGAAGTCACCTCCCCTTCAATGACAATAGAGGAGAAGAGAGCAGAGCAGATCAGGGTGTCCGCTCAGGTCAGTGGTGTCAGGTTAGATGTGTCCCTGATAGGAACAGACAGAGACTCAGACCAGGGGGTCACTCCTTGTTCTGGGGTCTACTGCCCTCCTGCTGAGAGTGAGAGTGAGTGAGAGAGAGAGAGAGAGAGAAAGGGACTGGTGTGTCTCTGACATGGAGTGACACTGAACCCCAGAACCCTTTGTCTGACCACTGTCCAGCCGGAACCTGGCGTCCGGGAACTGTCTGGGACACGTCGGGGTCCCATCTGGCATCCTCAGCCATGCATGACCAAATCCAGGGCACAGCAAGATATATTCAGCCACTCTGGGAGGACAATGGAGTTCAATAGAATAGAAAGTTGTTCTTTATTATGAAAAACCAGTACGCTGCCTTGTGAATGTTTTAATGCAGTAAAAGCATTACTTTTCACAATAAAAAAGCAATTTCTATTGAACTTCCATTGTCCTCCATCCTCAGGGTGACAGTATCAGCAAACACTCCTGCTTTGTGATTCTGT